GACACTTGAGCACACAATCCAAGCTGAAATGACAGCACACCTAGGCCACTGTGCTCTAATGTTCATACTGCTGTCCATTGAATTAGTGAGATATGGAAGACCTACTACCTGCTCAGATATATTTTAAAGATCTTATCATCTCAGAATAAATAAAAACTCAGAACGCTTGCAACTTCTTGGAAAGCATTTTTACTTCAAACACAACCAACAAAGATGGCAAACATTTTCAAATTGCTGATTATGGGATTGTGACTTCATTCTGCAGAAGTCACATTAGAATTGAGAAAATAATTAATTGTGCACAGGAAATTTCTGACAGGAACTGAGTCACGTATTTCAACTCTGATCACATGTTTTTACTGGATCATTTTGAGTTGCTTTTTTGTTCCATCATATGTATGCAATGGAAAAATAGATATCCATTTCTTACCTGGTGTTAGAAATGCAGGAAAAGGAACAGGCCATTTGGCCCTTCGAGTCTGCTCAAATCATTCAACTAGATTATAACTGATTGCCATTTTTGTGTGCTATCCCTATATTCCTTGATGTCATTACCACATAGAAATCTATCAATCTCTGTTTTTAACATACTCAATGACTTAACTTGCATTAGATTCACTACCTTTAAGTGAAGAAATTCCTCCTGTTCTCAGTCCTCAATGGTTTACCTTCCCCCAGTGCATAATCTCTCATTTCTCTGAATTCCATATGCCACTTTTCTGCCGCTTAGCGAAGCCATTGATGTCTTCCTGCAGTCGACAGTCATCCACTTCACTATTAACTGCCCATTCAATTTTTGCACCATCCACAATTTTTCAATCATGCTTCACAAATTTAAGTCCAGCTCAATAATATATAATTAACATATGCATTAAGGGACCCAAACCTGAAAGCTGTAGAACACTACTGGAAACCAGTTGCCATTTGCATAAACATGCTTTCCATTTGCAAAAATACCTGCTGATTGTTACCCTTTGTTTCCAGCCACCAAGCCCATTTTGGATCCAACACACCACATACCCTTGTATCTCATGGGTTTTAATTTTTCTTAACAGTTAATGGACCTAGACAAATGCATCAGCTGTACTACCCTCACCAATCCTGCTTGCTACTTCTTAAAAAATTCAATTAAGTTAGTGAGAGACGATCTTCATTTAACAATACCATACTATCCCTGAATAATCCTGCTTTGCCAAATAACAGCTAATCCTATATCTCAGTATAAACTTCATTAACTTGCCCGCCACTGAGATCAGAGTGACCAGCCTATAGTTATTTAGTCTATTCCTCATACCCATTTCAAAATTTGCAACATTTGCAGGCCACCAAACCTCTGGTACTTTGCTTGTATCTAGTGAGAATTCCTACTCTCTGTTTACGGTCATCCATCAATTCTCAATCCATTACGTATTTTGACTTAAGCCCATATGCTTTCTTTGCTTAATAGTCTCCTGTATGTTACTTTATCAAAAATCTTATAAAAATCTAAATTCACCACATCCACTGGTTCCCTTTTATCTAACTTGGCAGTAATAACCTCAAAGTCCACCAGGCTTGTCAAACTTGATTTCCCTTTGATAAAACTGTGTTGACTCTGGCCAATTTTATTATTTTCTATATTCTGGCATTTTCCCTACTGCCATTGTCAGAATAAATGGTTTGTAATTCTTTGCTTTCACTCCCCCTCCTTTATTGAACAGCAGACTACACTTCCAACCATCATGTCTGGAGGCATCATTCCAGAATCTATAGAAGTTTGAAAGATGACTATCAACTTCGCACTACCTCTAGAGCCAGCGTTTTCAACACTTTGTAATATTCATCATTGGCTCCAGGGGATTTATAAATTTTCAGCCTCACTAAATTTTCCAATGCTACTGTTTTTTTCTTTTGTTAATTAATACTAATTTCTTTCAGTTCCAAATTCTCACTAGTCTCTTGGATCTCTATTTCTGATAGATATTTTCGTATCTTGCCGTAAGAAGATAGACGCAAAATAATATGTAGTTCCTCTGCCATTTCCCTATTACACAATCATAATTTTTTCTGTCTTTGTCTGTAATGGAATTAAGTTTGTTCACTAACTTTGTTCCTTTTACGTACAATCAATCTGTTTCTGGCTAGTTAAAATTTAAGTTTTATTCTCCCTTTCTTGGCCTTCCTTCCAATCCTCATGCTTACTACTTTTTGAAGAATCTGCATAAACCTCCTCCTCCTCCCCTGAATACAATCTTTGACGTCCTTTGTTAGCTCCGTTTGGCTTAATTTTCATGTTGATTTTTTTAACTCTGAATAGAAATGAATGCTATAGAGTCATGCAGCATTGAAACAGCCCTTTGGCCCACCGTGTATAAGCCAACCAACAAACAGCACTGCACAAATCCCATTTACCTGCAGTTGGTCCATAGCTTACTGTGCCCTGGCATTTTAAGTGCTCATCCAGATACTACTTAAATGTTGTGATAAAACCTAATTCATCCACTCGCTCAGGCAGCATGTTCCATATTTCTCCCACTCTTCGGGTGAAAAAAAATTTCTCTGATCTCCCCTAAAACAATTACTTACTGTCTTAAGCTTATGCCCTCTGATCTTAGATACATCTGCCATGGGGAGAAGATTCTCACGATCTACTCTGTGTCTCTCATAATTTTGTGTACCTCAGTCAGTTCCCCCCCCGTCCAAACCCCGCCCCAGGCTCCTCTATTCTAAGGAAAACAAACTCGGCCTATCCAGTCTTTGCTCATAACTGGGACTTTTTATCCCAGGCAGCATCGTGGGGAATCTCCTCTGCACCCTCTCCAGTGCAATCACATCCTTCTGATAGTGTTTTGACCAGAAGTGCACATAGTGTTATATCTATGGCCAAATCATAAAGTTGTAACAAGACTTCCTTGCTCCAATATTCTACGCCCCGGTTAATGAAGGCAAACTTCCTCTATGACATCTTCACCATCCTGTCTACCTGTGCTGGCACCTTCAGGGATCTATGGACTTGTACACCAAGTTCCCTTTGTTCCTCAGAGGAGCCTACCTTCCTTCCTTAATTGGACTTCCCAAAATGCATCACCTTGCACTTTTCAGGATTAAATTGCATCTGCTGTTACTGTGCCCAATTTACCAGCTGATGAATATAAGACTGTAGCCGTAGACCATCCTCCCTACTGTCAACACCACTGCCAATTTTCATGTCTTGTGTAAACTTGCTAATTCTGTAAACTTGCTTTTATGTTCACATCCAAGTCATTAATGTACGCAAAAAACAGCAAGGGTCAGTGCATCAATTCCTGTCATGTTGTTGTAAACCATGTATTAATTATTTAAGTTGTTTTAAGAATCCCTGCAATGTCGAAACAGACCATTCAGCCCAACAAGTCCACACTGAATCTCTGAAGAGCATTCCACCCAATCCCACCCTCCTACTCTATCCCTGAAACCCTGCATTTCCCATGGCTAATCCACCTAACCTACGCACCCCTGAACACTGTGGGAAATTTAGCACGGCCAGTCCACCCAACCTACACACCTTTGGACTGTGGGAGGAAATCCACGTTAACATGGAGAGAATGTGCAATCTCCACACAGACTGTCAACCAGCTTGAATTGAATCTGGCTCCCTGGCGCTTTGAGGCAGCAGTGCTAACCACTGAGCCACTGTGCCACCTCTAACCATTGCCTGTATACCATCATATCTTTTAATGTATTTTGCCATTCTGCACAACTGACTCACTACTCATACCTTCATATCTATCTTTATTTAAATTTAAGATCCTGATTTTGGATTGACTATGTCATTAGACATGCTGTCTAAAAAGCTGCCATAATTTAGTGATGTTTCGTAAACAGTGTTTAATATTATTTTCCTCTGTGTAAATTGAGTAGTTGTATTCTGATTCTTGACCATGGCATTCAAAGCGTTACACAATTGTTCAAATGAAATGTCTGTTCTTCCATGTTTTTGGAAACTTGTCAAAACAGCATCATGCCAAGTTTTGAAACACCTGTTCTGTGAATCAGATTTATTGGACACCAAAATTATTAAATACAAATACTGCACTCGTAGCTCTCTGATTAAACACCCTGCAGGTCTCAATCATTAGCATTTACAGTGCAGCACATGTCACATCCAGCACTTTTGTTATGTAGACACAGGTGAGAGAAGGCTGTGACAGCAATTATAGATAGATCACCTAACTGACGTGCTTCATTATCTAGTGACCTGGAACAAGAGGGCCAAGCCTCAGTCCACCATAACACAAGCCACCAGCGTGCTCGTTGCATCAGTAAGTTCTCACATGTACATTTGTAGTCTGCTATCAGATAGCATGGAGACTCACATTCAGATTTTGAGCATAAGCCAGGTACTCAAACTGATCAAAACCTGCGTAAAACAATAATGAAGCAAACATTGTGCTGTCTCAGGATTTGACTGAAGAAGGAAAACCGACACCTTCAAACAAATCCTATCAAGATTATCTTGTGCTGCCTGCACCATTGTAATGTAAGATTTCTAAAATCTGACTTTCATTTAAAATTCAATTCAAAATATAATTGTAAGACTTTTGTGAAAAAAACACACACAGCACAAGGCTCCCTCAAATCATAATTCTTTTATCCTTTTACACTTTGCCAACTTGAATCACACCTATCTATTCCCAGCTGTACCAGTTCATGCCATGGCTGACAGACATTTACAGCCAGCTCCCCGGAACTTTAGCTAATTGGCATTCTCCAGCAACAAACCTGGACAGTGACAGCTGGTTATTTCTTGAAAAGGAAACATTTGTCAGGCTATGGGGGGAGAGAGAGAGAGACAGAGAGCAGAAGAGTGGAGATAATTGTATAGCTATTTCAAAGAGTCAACACAGAAATAATGGACCAAAAGGCCACCTCTTTTGTTGCAAAATAACTTCATAGAATCCCTACAGTGTGGAAACAGGCCCCTCAGCCCAACAAGTCCACACTGACCCTCTGAGCATCCCAACCAGACCCATCCCCCTGTAAACCTACCTAATCTACACATCCCTGAACACTATGAGCAATTTAGCATGGCCAATCCACCTAGCCTGCGCATCTTTAGACTGTGGGAGGAAACTCACTCAGACAGGGGGAGAATGTGCAGACTCCACACAGACAGTCACCTGAGGGTGGAATTGAACCGAGGTCCTTGATGCTGTGAGGCAGCAGTGCTAACCACTGTGCCACCTCACTTTTTATGACTGATTGTAGATGTAGACATTTTAAATGATGCACAATTCAAAGAAATGTATTTCTATTTCTGATCTGCTGTAACCATGCTGTTCTACATGTCATGCAGCTGAGCTCTTTTTGATGAAAATCCATTCGTTATTTTTTTATTTAAAGATAGAAGTTCATAAATTACACACAGTTTTAAAAGCCTGAAAGCTGATATTATCATTCCCTCTGTAAATTCCTGTGAAAATGTTAGCTTATTTTTGATTGTTTTCTAACAGGGTGAGTTTGTGGCATGTCTGCTTGCTCTACTAAGGCAAATGACAGATAAACATTATCAACAACTTCTGGAAAGCTTCACCAGCAAAGATGATCTCCGGGTGAGTCAGTTGCACCTATGTGTAGCCGTACATGGGTCTGCTTTAGAAACTATAGAAGGCCTGGTGAAGAGACACAGTGAACCTTTTGGACTGAACAAAAATGAAGCCAAGGCAATGTTAGAACTCAAAACAAAAGACGAGAGAATCAAGCTTGTAAGCACCTGGTTGCAGACAGTGGGCAAGTTAAAACACTCGTGGCTCAATGATTGATTAGTTATGGAAAGCGAAGTTTTATAGAGACTTGTATAGCATCTAGAAATCCAAAAACCCTAAGCATGAACATTTTAAGAAATGGCCTAGTACAGTGACCAATGTAGAAGGTTGTACTCTGTGCACTCAATTTGGCTTCTGACTGAAGGGATGAGAAAAGCATAGCCACTTTTGAAAGGTACATATGTAGAGGAATGCTCAGAATCAGCAGCCTAGATAAAAATACAGAGAGGTGATGGCCTAATGATATGACCATTAGATTATTCATCCAGTGACTCAGGTAATTGAGATTTGTGTTTGAATTCTGCCATGACAGATGGTAGAATTTGAAGTCAATAAAAATCTGGAATTAAGAGTCTATTGACAAACTGGAAGTTGTTGATTGTCAGTAAAAATTCAGGTCAGGCAGCAGCAGAGAAGCAGGAAAATCAATGTTTCGGGTGGGAACCCTTCATCACCGTTGGAGAGAGGGAAGGAAATAATTAGAGGGAGGAGGGGTGGGGCTGGGGAATGGTAGGTGGAATGGCGATAAAAGATGCAGGTAGGAAGTGGTGGGGATTGGTCAGTGGGAAGGGTGGGACGGATAAGGTGGGAAAGAAGATGGACAGGTTGAGTCAGGTCAAGGAGGCAGGGATGAGAGGGAGGGTTAGACGTGGGATGAGGCTGGGGGTGGGGAGGTTTTGAAACTGGTGAATTCTATGTTGAGGCCATCAGGCTGTAGGCTCCGGAGGTGGAATATGAGGTGTTGTTCCTCTAGTTTGAGTGTGACGTCATTGTGACACTGGAGGAGGCCCAGGATGGACATGTCACCCAGGGAGTGGGAGGGGCAGTTAAAATGGTTGACAACCAGAAGGTGTTGCTGATTATAGTGTACAGAGCGCAGATGCTCCGTGAATGAGTCACTGAGTCTGCCCTTGGTCTCACCGATGTAGAGGAGACCACATCAGGAGCAACTGATACAGTTGATCAGGTCAGAGGATGTACAGGTGAATCCCTGTCAGATTTGGAAAGTTTGACTTGGGCCTTGGATGGAGGTGAGAGAGGAGGTGTAGGGGCAGGTGTAGCACCTCCTGTGGTTGTAGGGAAAGGTGCAGGGTATGGTGGGGTTAGCAGGGAGTGTGGAGCAGATGAGGGAGTCACGGAGTGAGCGGTCCCGATGAAAGGCAGATAGGGATTGGGAGGGAAATATCTGTTTGGTGGTGGGGTCGGATTGCAGGTAACGGAAGTGACAGAGGATGATGTGCTGGATGAGGATGTTGGTGGGGTGGTATGTGAGGATGAGTGGGACTGTCCCTATTTTTGTTGAGAGGAGGGAGTGTGAGGGCAGAAGTCCAGGAAATGTAAGAGATGTGGTTGAGGGCATTGTGGATCTCTGGAGGGGGGGAAGTTGCAGTCCTTGAAGTAGGAGAACATCTGGGATAACTGGGAGTGGAATACTCCATCTTGGGAGCAGATGTTGTGGAGGTGGAGGAATTAGGAGTAAGGGATCGCATTCTTGCAGGAGGGTAGGTGGGAGGAGGTAGATATGGGAGTCGGTGGGTTTGAAATAAATATTGGTGCTGAGACAATTACTGGAGATGGAGATAGAGAAGTCCAGAAAGGGGAGGGAGGTATTGGAGATGGTTCAGGTGAATTTGAGGTGAGGGTGAAAGGTGCTGGTAAAGATGATAAACAGTTCAAGCTCCTCATGGGAGCACAAGGCAGCGCCGATACAGTTATCAATATAATGGAGGAAAAGGTGAGGGATGGTGCTGGTGTAACAGCGGAAGAGGGACTGTTCCATGTGTCCTACAAAGAGGCCGGTATAGCTCGGACCCATATGGGTGCCCATAGCCACCCCTTTGGTTTGTAGGAAGTGGGAGGAGTTCAAGGAGTAGTTATTGAGGATAAGGACATGCTCTGTTAAACGGATGATGGTGTCAGAGGAGGGGAATTGGTTGGGCCTGCGGGAGAGGAAGAAGCGGAGGGCATTTAGGCCATCTCCATGGGGGATAGTGTACAGGGATTGGATATCCATGGTGAAGGTGAGGTGTTGGGGACCGGGGAATTGAAAGTCTTGGAGGAGGTGGAGGGCATGGGTAGTGTCCTGAATGTAGGTGGGGAGTTCCTGGACCAGGGAAAAGACAGAGTCGAGGTAAGAGGAGATGACTTCAGTGGGGCAGGAGCAGGCAGAGACAATGGAGCAGGGTTGGGGAACGATAAGGTTGGAGGCTGTGGGTGGGAGGTCTGCTGAGGTGCTGAGGTTATTGGTGGTCTGGCAGATGATGGTTTGGTGGCCAGGGGTGGGATCATAATCGAAGGGGCGGTAGCAGGAGGTGTCAGCGATTTGGCGCCTGGCCTCCCCGATGTAGAGGTCAGTATGCCATACCACCAAACCATTATCTCCCAGACCATCAACCCTAACCTTAACCTCCTCATCCAGTGCATCATCCTCCACCACTTCTGCCACCTAAAATCCAACCCCAACACCAAAGAGATATTTCCCTCTCCACCCCTTTTGTAGGAACCACTCTCTCCGCGACTTCCTCATCTGCTCCACACTCCCCACCAACTCCACCACACCTGGCACCTTTCCCTGCAACCACAGGAGGTGCTACACCTGCCCCTACACCACCTCTCTCTCACCTCCAACCAAGGCCCAAGACAAACTTTCCAAATCCGACAGGAGTTCACCTGTACATCCTCTGACCTGATCTACTATGTCCGTTGCTCCTGATGTGGTCTCTTCTACATCGGTGAGACCAAACGCAGACTGACTGACTCATTCGCGGAGCATCTGTGCTCTGTATGCTATAATCAACAACACCTTCTGGTTTGCCAAACATTTTAACTGCCCCTCTCACTTCCTGGGTGACATGTCCACCCTGGGCCGCCTCCAGTGTCACAATGACACCACACTCAAACTGGAGGAGCAACACTTCATATTCTGCCCCAGGATCCTACAGCCTGATGGCCTCAACACAGAATTCACCAGTTTCAAAATCTCCCCACCCCCAGCCTCCTCCCATGTCCAACCCTCCCTGTCATCTCCACCTCCTTGACCTGACACAACCTGTCCATCTTCTTTCCCACTTGTCCACCCCACCCATCCCACTGACCAATCTCCACTACCCCTGATCTGCATCCACCTATCATCATCCCACCTCCTTCCCCCAGTCCCACCTGTCCTCCCTCTATTTATTTCCCAGCTCCTTTCCTCCTCCCCAGTACTGATGAAGGGTCCTGACCTGCAACGTCAACTTGCCTGCTCCTCTGATGCTGCCTGACCTGCTGTGTTCCTCCAGCTCCACACTGTATTGACTCTGACTCCAGCATCTGCAGTTCTTGCTTCTCTGCCGGGAAAACTTATCGGGTTCATTAATACCCTTTGGAGAAAGAAATCTGGAGGCCATACCTGGTCTGGCCTGCATGTGACTGCAGACCCACAGTAATGTTGACTCTTAACTGTCCTGTAGGCATTTGGGGATGGGCAATAAATGTTGGCATAGCCAGGAACATCCACATTCTCTGATTAAATAAAACAAAATTCTATAAAATTAACATGAAAACTTTATTTTACCTTCAGGATTTCCTGCTGCAGATTTTTACAGTGTTTAAGATTCTAATAAGACCAGAGATGTTTCCAAAAGACTGGACGATAATGCGCTTGGTTACCAACAAGTAAGATGGTCTCTCCTTACTTTAAGGTATATCGAATATCGTGGCAGTGCTTTCGTGAGTGTGGGAAATGAACTCAGCTGCACTGACTCTGCAACAAGTGTTATACTGATCTTGCAGTTAAGTGAAAAAAAAAAGCAGTGAACAATTCAAGAGTTGATCTATTAATAGTTGACTATTCAGTCGTCAACAGTTGAATAGCTAAAAGAGCAGACTGGAATAATTTATTTTTCAATATTAAGTTCAAATTCAGAAATCAAGAATTTCAGATTTGTGTTTCCTATCTACATAATAAGGTTTAAACTGTCCGTATTTCCCTACAAAAAGTGAAGGGTAGATGTTGGAATTCAGATAAGAAACTCAGTATGTCTGGCAGGACCTGTGGAGAGAAAGCAGAATTAATGTTTCACGTCCAGTGATAAAATACAGACTAGACAACAGCATTATGGAACACCTACGCTCTGTCGACAAAAATGACCCCAAGCTTCCGGTTGCCTGCCACTTCAACTCATCACCGTCTTCCCTGGTCAACATCTGTGTCTCAGGTTTGCTGCAGCACTCCAGTGAAACTTTTTGCAAACTGGAAGAACAGTATCTCATTTTCTACTTAGGGACTCTGCAGCCTTCATGACTCTATCGAGTTCAATAATTTTAGAGCCTGAGCACCTTCTTCCATCTCCTTTCCCCAATCCCCACATGCCAGACCTTGTCATCTCATGGGCTACTCCAACACTCAATCCACAGTCAGCTACTAGTTGTTCCCATTAGCAGCTAATGATTCTCCCAGGCTGACCTTTTCCTATGTCTTTCTGCCCAACTGCTATACTGTCTCTTTGGGCTCCATCTCCACCTTGTGTTTACTCTTCCTCCTTCCCCACTACTCTGTCTTCAGCACATGTACCAACCTTTTTCTAGTCACCATCAATTCTGAAGAAGGGTCACTAGACCCAAAACATTAACCCTGCCTTCTCTCCACAGATGAATTTTCCGAGAGACAATGTCTGCAGGAAGTGTGTTTGGTCACAAATTCAATTGGACTGCACAGATTGATTGGAGCAGCAGTTAGAGGCAATTGAGTAAGGCCAATTTTGATGGTATTGGGCAGAAACTTTCAAGCGTTGATTGGGGGAGGCTATTCGCAGGTAAAAGGACATTTGGGAGGCCTTTAAAAATGAGGTAGTGAGAGTTTAGAGACCCTATGTGTTCCTGCCAGTGTGAAGGGCAAAGCTAGGAGGTGTAGGGAATGCTGCATGACTAGAGAAATTAAGGCTCTGGTCAAGAAAAAGAATGAGGCATATGTCAGGTACTGACAGCTGGGATTGGGCGACTCCCTAGAGGAGTATAAGGGCAATAAGAGTATAATAATGGGGATATCAGAAGGGGAAATAGAGTTAAGGAGATTCCAAAGAGATTCAACTAATACATTTAGGGCAAAAGAGTAATTAGGGAGTGAATAGAGCCCCTTAAAGATCAATGTGGGTGTCTATGTGTGGAACCACAGGAGATAGGTAATGAATATTTTGCATCCATATTTACTGTGGAGAAAGACATGGAAGTGAAGGGAATTGGAAAATAAATAGTGATGTCTTGAAAGGAGTTGATATGACAGAAGAGAAGGTGCCGGAGGTCTTAAAATGCATAAAGGTAGATAAATCCCCAGGACCTGATGGGGTGTTTCCCAGAAGCTTGTGGGAAGCTAGGGAAGAGATTGCTGGGCCCCTTGCTGGAATATTTGTGTCATCGACAGCATGGGTGAGATGGCGGAAGACTGGAACTTGGCTAATGTGACGGTATTATTTCGGAAAGGCTGTAAGGAAAAGCCAGGGAACTAAAGACCAGTGAGCAGTGGTGGATGAGTTGTTGTGGGGGATTCTGAGGGTGAGGATTTACATGCATTTGGAAAGGCAAGGACTGATTAGAGATAGTCGATATGGCTTTGTGAAAGGTAAATAGTGTCTCACTAACTTGATTGAGTTTTTGAAGTGGTGAGAAAGAAGATTGATGAAGATAGAGCAGTAGATGTTGTCTAAATGGACTTCAGCAAAGGAATCAACAAGATTCCCCATGGTAGACTGATTCGTAAGGTTAGATCACAAGGGGAGCTAACTAATTGGATACAGGACTGGCTTGATAATAGGAGACGGACGGTGGTGGTAGAGAGTTGCTTTTCAGCCTGGAGCCCCGTGACCAGGCAGTGTGTCACAAGGATTGGTGCTAGATCCACTGCTTTTTATTGTTCATATAAATGATTTGGATTTGGAGGTATGGTTAGTAAGTTTGCAGATGACATCAAAACAGGTTGTGTGGCGGACATAAAGATGATTATCTCAGAGTACAACGAGTCTTTGATCACTCAGGCCAATGGGCTGAGGAGTGGCAGGTGGAGTTTAATTTAGATAAATGTGAGGTGTTGCATTTTGGAAAGGCAAATAGGGCAGGACTTATACACTTAATGGTAAGGTCCTGGAGAGTGTTGCCGAACAAATGGACTTAGGGGTGCAGGTGCATAATTCCTTAACAGTGGAATTGCAGGTAGACAGGGTGGTGAAGAAAGCATTTGGCTTGCTTGCCTGTTATTGACCTGAGCATTGAATTTCGGAGTTGGGACATCATGTTGCGGCTGTACAGGGCATTCGTGAGGCCCGTTTTAGAATACTGTGTACAGTTCTGGTCTCCCTGCTATAGGAAGGATATTGTTAAACTTCAGGGTGCAGAGAAGACTTACAAGGACATTGCTGAGACTGGAGGGTTTTAGTTATAGGGAGAGGCTGAATAGGCTGGGGGTTTTTTTTCCCTGGTGCGTTAGAGGCTGAGGGGTGACCTTATAGAAGTGTATAACATCATGAGGGGCATGGGGATTGGGTGAATAGCCGAGGTCTTTTTCCCAGGGTGCGGGAGTCCAAAACTAGAGGGCATAGGTTTACGATGAGAGGGGAAAGATATAAAAAGGACCTGAGGGGTAACTTTTTCATGCAGAGGTTGCTGTGTATATGGAATAAGCTGCCAGAGGAATTTGTGGAAGCAGGTACAATTACAACATTTAAAAGGCATCTGGATGGTAATATGAATAAGAAGGGTTTAGAGGGACATGGGCTAAATGCTGGCAAATTGGACTGTGTCATATTGGGACGTCTGGTCTGCGCAATGAGTTGGACTGAAGGTTCTGTTTCCGTGCTTTATGACTCTATGCAGTCAGACCTGCTGAGTTTCTCAATTTCTGATTTCCAGCATCTGAGGTTCTCTGGTCTTTTTATATAACTAAATCAGTTTAGTTTTGGGATGGAAGCTCCTTGATAAGTTTTCCAATTTAATAGTTCGATATTCTCTGTATCCTGATTAATACTTTTGTAATCAAGCCTCACAAAATACAAAGAAAATGAGAAATTCCATTGAGAAAATGCATACCTAACAATGTGTAAAGAAATTACGATGTAGACCATTTCAGTGATAATTCATGACATGTACCTGCTGTATCTGTATCAAATACTGTGGATGGAATTATGATGGCCATTGTTGCTTTCGAACAACTTATTCTACACACCATTTTAATTTTAATTTTCCAGACAATTAATTGGAAAACAGAGCAGGTTTTGAAATGGTACATAATATGCTTTGCCAATTTGCTACTCGGGTAATTAAAGTGAAGATTACTTCCTCTCTATGGCACACAAGTCTTACTTTATATCAAGGGTATATCACCCTGTGATTGCACAATCTGACCAACAGGGTCTCAGAGATTGATTAAACTGCTTTCTGAAATCATTTTTTTTTTATTTACAGTTTTCCCCAAGTGACTGAATTCTTTAATATCCAAAATGAAGTTTTAATCAAATTTTAAAAATTTGCAAGCCGTGTGTTTCTCAGTAACATGATTAAAATGTATCCATTGAATAAACCCATGTGGCTTTTAAAGTCTTTGTCGCAATTTTGATGTGAATGCTTATTTTTGAACTTGATATTTTTACCAGAAGCCTAGACTCTATGAACTGAATTTTGTTTGTGAATTGCTATATACAGTGCATCTTATCCTGTACAATTAACGAATATTGTTTTGTTAACTGCATTGATGGAATGTGTTTCTTTGGCTTCTAAGCTTTGAAATTTCAAAGAGAAGTGATTTATCAGAATGAGAAAGACAGGTAGACGACCTTGAGATTTTGATTTGAATTGTATGAGTCTGCAAGGTGAGAAGAACAAATCTAGAAAATCTACATTAATGTTGGTTCAACTAATTCACAAAAAGCTACATTTTAAGTGAAATGCTTTGTCCACTTATGATGCCCACTGGAGACCTACCCTGCCATTCCTTTTTCCCCTCCCATTTACCACATCCATCATTTCTCCCTTAGACTTCACCAACAGATCAACAGTCACTACTGCAGGCATTAACTTAGGGAGTAAGATCCTAATTAACCACCCAAGCTTTCTTCATGAACCCAAACTAGTTGGTATATTAATCGATTCCCTCACCTCAAGTTCTACCATTAGGCTTGTCCCCTCAAATCCTATCCAGGATACATCTGAATCTACAAATTATAATTCCATCTCCAATTTATCAATCTCATTGATTTTCACCATTATTAAAGGTATTGTTGCTTCCTAAATCCATGCCTGTCATTCCTGTAACTTAGTGATCTCCAATTGGGTTTCCTTCCCTGCTGCGGTATTGAACCAGTTTTAATCAGTCACAAATGGCTGTCTTTGTGATTGCGTAGTACATTATCCTTCCTCATTTGATCCAAGGTAATAAAGGGGAAGATAATTGATAAATCATCAAAACGGAAAGGATAAAATCTCTGATCCAAACAGATTGAAACGAGCAACCATACTAAACTAAAGCTGAGGAAACGCTGGAATAGCATCGTATAATTTATAAAATTCATTAGGAAAAGAAATTGGGGCAGTGGACATGCGGACAGCTAATGTGATTAGTATCTTTTAAAAAAGGAGATTTCACAACCTCAAGGAACAGTAGACCAGTTGAGTAAATGTCAGCAGTAGGAAGGATAAATAAATCTTTACTTAAAAATACAATAGAAGATGATTAAAGGAAAATATGGAACAAATCCACAAATTGCAAATGCAAGTTAAAATTGTAGGTTATGACGGGGCAGAATTTTACTTTGGGTTTTGAGGCCCCATCATCAGATTGAAAGGCAAGTCCTGAGTCTACACTTGGCAACAGACTACTCTTATTGATGCCTTCAGGCTCACTGTCTAACTAAGGATGGTGAATGGGCTCCTGGTTCCGCCAGCCAAATTGGAGGACCAGCAATTTTGAAGCTTTGCAGAGTCACCCAACGAGGTGGGCATGGATGAGATGGATATGAAAACCTCAGGAATGCCTCATAATGAAGGCATGCTTGAAAAAGTACATAGAAGTTCAAATTGAGGGGGCAAAGAACGTTGGGCCCCGCAGGAAGGGAAGATGTCAGGAGCATACCTATCAACCCTTGTCTGGACCACTGAACCTTTGGCTCCATTAGCCCCTTGGCCACTGTGGGGAAGCCACTTCCATGATGCTTATGTTCTCCCCAATGAGCAACCCCCATCCCTGCCCCGAACTCTCCTGCCAGAATCAGAATTGAGGTTTGGTATCAAGTAGCCCTTAGTATCCTTGGCCATCACCACCACGTCCCCCACTCTTCCCCCGTAAGATCTCAGTGAGGGAGAGTGGTGGGACACCCACTGTGGGTATGGTCCTACCCTGCCACGTAAATTTGCAGGCAGAGAACTCTACAATTCTGCCCTTATTGTAGCAATAGACTGGAGATGGAGTGATAGTGATAGTGATATTAAGGAGTGGACTTATGGTCTGTATAACTTTATTGGATTCCTGCCAACTTGACGTCCTTACCATTATCAGCTTTGAAGAAGAACTATTTTGCTGCAAGCTACAAGTGTTGGATAACCAAAACTGATTTCACAGTGGCCAGTGTGTAATGGGTATGACTATTCATTGCATCAAATATAAGCACAGAGCGCATGTTCATACATATTGATAATTCCATACTAGTGTTTTCACTCAAGATGAAAAGCTGACACCAAGAAGTGGAGCTGATTTTTGCTCTTCTTATCTTTCAGTGTGATCATCACTACAATTCTCTATCTCTCTGATGCACTCAGAAAGAATTTTCTAAACGAAGGCTTTGACTTCAAGGTATTGTGATTTTGATACGAGATTCTAATATTTTGTGGCTCTTTACTTCCACATGTACTGCTCGTTTTTATACATGAACACTATTGTGGTTTCTGTTCTGCTCATTTAACTAATGCTCAGGGTTTGTGGTAATTTACAATACCAGCACTGTTTGAGGATTCTTTCATTGACTTTACTCTTGTGACTAAATTTTTTCACTGATGGGGTGCTTTAAATTCTGGTGAAAGAAATACTGCAGAGTTTTCTGACAAAAATTTTAATCCCTCCCCAAGACTGATGTGACATTGTTGGGAACTGGGGTATTTATTTGTTAAACACAACCCACCATGAAACAAACCAGTTTAACTAGGACAACTTGGAGTTGACAAGTAACCCATTCTTGAGAGGATGGTCAGTAATTATAGTACTTCAACATGGCTCTGTGCCTTAGATTTTATCAGTGATTTAGGTTTAATGTATATGTTCCAGGTTTCCCTTGGATCAGGAAACCCAAAAGCTGAACAGCAAGGGAACTGCCAGATCCTACAGTAAAATAGGGCACAGAAGCAGGAGTCCTTCCTTGCCATACCCAGCATCTAAAGCAAACCTGCTGAGATATGCCTTCTCTCTGCAATTGTCAGACCAGTAGCCACCACGTAGCCTCCAATATGCTCACCAGGAAGTGCAATAATAAAATTCTCACAATTCTCAATCTGGGGGATTGTCCATGTGCCCAGCATTTCTGGGGTTCCCACTCAATGGCAGGTACCTTCACTCCCTCTCCATTTTCCAAGCAATGCTGGAGGCCCATATTTCAGAGCCTTCCCTTGCAGCCTAGCACATCATAAATACAAAGTAATACATGTCCTGTACATGGGGGCAAGTTGGTCTCTTGGGCTGAGTTCAGCAAGATCAGCATACTCTTGTTGTTTAAGTTCATCCTTTATTTTTGTTTCTCAGAAGATTGTTATGCTTATGCAGACATTAACAGATCATGTCACTGAATTGGTTGCAAACATTTCAATTTATGCAATGACTGGAACATGTAAGCTTGGGCTTGGGTTGTGGGATGGGGTTACGTAACCAGTTTTGTGATGCATACTCTTATCTGGATGCTGTACAGGCTGTAGCATTTAACTGCAACCAATACAGAACTACTCCAGCATTAAAGCACCCACGCACTGAAGTGAAAACAATCGAATTGCAGTGCAGATCAGGTGGCATGTTTAGAATTTCTTCACAACGTTTGCACAATTACAGCCATCCCTGCAGGATGTAAAGGGTATTAATTTAAACTGTGATTCTCCAAAGACAAACAGGATCAGTGTCAACATCACCGGGTTGCCATGTCCTTTTTCAGACTGCTGGAGTGCTCAAGCATCAGGTTAATAACACAGGAGCAGTGGGCACTTTGTTACACACATGATGAAACATGAAAAATCAAAAATAAATTAAGCATGGCTTGATGGCACAAACATTACAGTTTCAATGGAGTAGCAGGACACGAGTATAAATCCAAGATGTTACCACCTTAACTGTGCCATTGTGAGTCATTTCCCCATAGGTAGTGATTGGAGATGATTCACTGCAGTCTGCTCTTACACTGTTAGCAGTGAAGTGGCAGAGGCTTGGAAACACATCACCCAGCTGCCTTCAAAGCTGCAAATGGTATGTGCTGCATGGGATCCATGAAAGGAAATGGCAGAAAAGATTCTGTGGTTAAATAACTGATTGTATATTAAAGCTTCCTCCTTCAAGTCTCAGTTGTATGTTTCTGGCTGATTCTGCTGAATCGCTGCTGACTTAAAAATCTTTACCTATGATACATAGTGCAAAATAATTCTAGGTATTTTACATGTAAACTTTAGAATATTAAATGATAAAGCAACCTACTTATGAAAGCTGTGTTCAGCTACTCTATAGCATACATATTTAGGCCTGCTTTTCAATGTATTGTACTAATCCTTGGTCCAAACTTTAGAAAATAAATTTTACATTGTAAAAAATTAATGAAAGCAAAATCAATATTGTTTCATAATGAATAAAAATTACATGAAAAGTTTTCAAATTATCAAACTTATCTCAATCATTTTTATGTAATCATCGAGTCAGCAATTTAGAAACATTTCAACCAAACACCATTGGAGTTGCTTGTACAAATTCTGATAATCAGAAACATATCTACAATGCTTTAAAAGCTCAAAACCACTTAAAATATTTTCACAACAAAAGTAACATCACTGTAGAAATATTACAAAATCAGCTGCTGACTTTCAGAAGGAAATCACCCTCTGGGCATACGGTCAGATTGTGTATTTGGGTTGGCACCTAATGCCAGGATAATGTCTGGGTTTGATCTTGCATGGTATTGGCATGACACACACAATGCAATTTTTGAACAAAAGTCCATTTGTTGGGAGAGGATGCCATTCACTTAAAGATGGTGGGCAGACTTCAGGCCCTGCCGTTCTGCAGCCTGCCAGTGCAGGTTAGAGAGAGAGAAGGCATCTAAAGGTAGAGACCACCAGTCAGGTCTTTGTGCAAATTACAGCCGTAGCCATATGGATATATATAGACTATTGGCCAAATGGATCCTGCAGCTCTGGCCCTTGCAGCCTGCCACTAGGGAACTGTCTGCAGGAATTTACTGGATATCTTTAATAAGCATCTGCCACTCACCATTGGTTGGTGGGATGCTTTCACCCTGCTTCACTTGCCTTCTTGAAAAGGGCCTGGCAGCAGAAAGATGGCAGCGTATCAGCACATGGATCAGTTCTATGAAATGTTGATCCTACTCATCTCCAGCAGAATGCCAATATCCAGCCCAGAGAGTCTAGCTTGGTTTCATTTCAGTGTCAGGCCAGACCTTGTTTCTGGATTCAGATTGCATTTATGCTATAACTCCAGTGTTAGTCCAAAATGAAACTGCTTTACAATTATCGTGAAAGTGCAGTACTTTACAGAAGAACAAGTGTAAGACTGATGAAGTGAGATCTGGCAGGCAGAGTTTATTGTACTAAAAATAGCACAAAATAATTCTCAACTGAACTTGGTCTATATTGAAAATAACTAATTAACAAAATATTGATTAAACATAATAGATCACAGTGAGGATCTTAGAATACATATCATTTCTCTAACTTAAAGCAATAGCATTGAAATGATCAGTTATGATTAACATCATAATGGAGTGTACTTATGGATTGCTTCATCACTGATTGTTGCGGTGATGAGAATTGACCAAAAGGTGGTTTTTCAATCCACTTCTTGCAAGAAATGGAATTCACCAGTTAAGGAATCGTTAGGTTAGATACAAGTCTAGAACTGGTTCATGAGCCAGTTCAAAAGTTTTGAGTTTTTATGTGCTTTGTTTTTATTTCCAAAATTTATTTTATTTCGTGTCGTTTTTGAGAATACATAGAAAAGGTATGTAAAATTGTAATAATCTTGATTTTGACGGATGACGTGTTGAAAGCCTCCAAGAACAAAAACAAATGTATGGTTCATATTGCTCAATGTTTTGAAAAGCAGAATGAGTGTTGGTAGCTGCTTCAGGCATTGTCTGCTTTTGCATTTGTTCACATGGATGTACATTTTTGTGGTAAATGTTTCACAATTCTACCTATGCATAATGCTTAACAAATGTATACAGGTGTTTGTGTTTCTCTGTGAAAGCTTGAAGATGTATGTCACATTTAAGACAGTATTCTTTAAAGGATAAGAAATATTTAAATCAAAAGCATAAGGAAGTAAGTCATTTTGAGTTTCAGTCACAATAATTCTGGAATGAATTCTTGAAACATCCGATTGAGCAATCTAGCTTTAAATCTGACTAGTCGCTGTAAATTTAGAAGCACCTTCGAATCAGCAAATATTTCTCCCTAAATAGTAATTAAATCTAACTGATCACAAGCTGTATTTACTTTCAACAATTATACTTTGAAACTGTACTGGGAGAGGCTCGCGTGAATTTATGTCAGCCTTCACAGCACAATAATCCGTTACATGCTACATAGTTGAACATTTTTATTGTTCTAAAGCAGCATATCATTTAAGATTGTGTCAAAAATGACATGTAGGATTCCTGCAGTGGCATGGGACTTTTTCAATCAACACAATTGCGTGGCTTTCCCTCCTGTGTTGTCCAATTCTACAATTGTGTGAAAATTCAGTAGCAAATTTATAATTTTCAATGTAATTTTGTAAGTTTCCTAACTATATGAGCTGTTTAAGTCATTATTCAATATGCATGTATAAACATTGCATATTATGATTAGTTTTCAAGAGTTCAGGATATATTCATGTAAATGTTTTTTATACAATGTATATATTGTAACATTATCATATTGGCTAAATAGCTAACTAACCATAAAACTACCTCTCTGCAGCATAATTTTCTGTAGTGTTTTTACATCTGTATGAAATTAAAGAATTCTTTTTATCATAGGTGTGGGATTCTTACTTCTTTTTGGCAGTAATATTTATCAATCAGCCTTGCCTTCAGCTTGAGATGTTTTCTCCTTCAAAAAGGAAAAAAGTTCTAGAAAAGTAAGTTGCATTATCTGATTCTGCTTACGTACAAAGGCTGAGTTTTTTTTTTCTTTTAAATGCTCTAATTATGTTTGGGTTTCTGGAAATAAATCCTTTCTATTATTCAGGAGTCCACTTGATTTTATGTTCATTATCTTATATTTTCAAATTCAATTACAGATATGGAGACATGAGGGTGATGATGGGATGTGAAATCTTCAGCATGTGGCAAAATCTAGGTAAAAACAAGCAGCATTGTATTTTCTGGATTGTTTAACTACAAATATAATGTCAGTTGTTTAAATTAAATAAATGATCACAATTGATTATATCGTAGGAGAGCACAAGCTACAATTTATTCCTGGACTTATTGGACCATTTTTAGAAGTGACACTTGTACCCCAGGCTGACCTTCGGAATGTGATGATCCCAATTTTCCATGACATGATGGACTGGGAGCAGAGACGTACTGGAAACTTCAAACAGGTAGATCATTATAAATTCATCCTCAAAATAACATCATTGCTAGTTTTTAGTAAAATGTTACATTTTTTTGCTGGTGTGCAGTTGTGATTCAGATGCTTATATTCAATCTGCTTGAGGTAAATCTGTTGTACTGGACTACATTTTAGAAGTGGGTGACTTTTTACATTTAAAAAAAGTATAAAAATAACAACTGACTTTCAAACTTAGATGAAAAGTAGTATTGCGTTATATGTATATATATGTACTATAAATAATTAACGAAGCATGTGGGGATTCATGCCAGAAGCAGCATCAGGCCTACCTAAAAACAAGGGATTAGCCTGGTTAAGTGCCAACAAAGGGTTATTTACATGTCAAAAAGCAGGAGCTGTATGCAATAGTTTATGTGACCTCACAACCAATCGTTCAGGTCTAAGCTCTGCAGTCCTGCTACATCCAGCCATAAATGGTGATGGACAGGGAAATAACTAACATGAGGAGGGTCCACAAAGACTCCCATTCTCAGTGGTGGGGAAGCCCAGCATGCCAGTGGAAAAGAAAGGCTGTTTGTCCAAAAGGTACAAGTCAGAAGTGTGATGGAGCACTCCCCACTCACCTGGATGAGAGCAACTCCAATAACTCTGAAGAAGCTTGGCAGCCTGCATGGTTGGCACCACATCCCCCACGTTCAACATTCACTATCTTCACCGGTAGTAGCACAATGGTAGTAGCTTGATCCATCCATAACATGCAATGCAGCAACTCATCAAGTCTCCTTTGGCAGCATCTTCCAAACCCGTGCTGTCTTCATCCTAGAAGAATGCATGGAAATGCCACCACATTCAAATTCTCCTACAAGCTGTACACATTCTGACTTGGAAATATAACGCCATTCCTTCAGTGTCATTGGGACAAAATCCTGGAAATCCATTACTAACAACGCTGTGGGTATACCTATACCACCAGCACCTTCTCCACAGCAATTAGGAATGGGCAATAAATGTTGGGTTAGACAGCAATGACTACATCCTGTGAATGATTGATTGAAAAAAATTCATTGCTAATTAAAAACACTTCAGATTTCGTAGTGTTGGCTATTAAGTGGTTAAAATTTGAAATGCCTTATTGGCGTGCTTTATGCTTTCATACTGAGGAGGAGGATGGTGGAGGAGGTGTTTTCTCCCTCTGGCATTAAGGCTGCTTGTGTTTATGTATTTTACTTCAGAGACCTACTTATTGGAGATCATTATTCAGACATTAAATCTATACAGAATGTATGTGGTTCTTTGCACAATCATTCATTGAAAACACTCATTGATCATATTGAAAGCTCTTTTATGGTAAACATAGAGTCTCATTATCTTACACATCGCTATATTAAAACTGAAGCATTTTTGTTGTTAATAAATGTTGTGGATTCTTTAATTTTTAGATGTGTAAAATTGATGTCATGACAGCACAAAATACTGATGTGGATCCAAGGATCGGTGTGGACTATAAAATTGTAAAATATGTTATCCTTTCTACTTGTGACTTAGGTGCTCAGACAGATCTGAAAGCAGCTGCACAGAGCAGTGTACCTCATTTTCAAAGGGCTAGTCACAGAGCTTAAAGGATATTTGGAAGTTGTGACTATAAGAGATATTGTAACAGTTTTCTTGTTTATGTCAGCAAGTACAAGAAGATCGATTTCTGGAAACTGTTCCAGATAATCTAACCGTGTAGCTGCTTGACTGGGAGCATGACACCTGAAGGCATCTATGCAAATGAGCAGAGTATTTTGTAACTTCAAATCCATCAAAGTTTAGAATGAGCAGAAGGATTCCTTTCACTCCCTCTCAAACAAATTGTGTTGTCCCGATACCACATGGATTGTAGAGGTTCAAAAAGATGTCACAGCACCTTCTCAAGGGCATTTAGGGGTCAGTAGCAAATTCTGGCCCAGGCAACATTGTTCACAACTTATGAATGATCATTTTTTAAAAAATAAGTGGCCAGGGACAGGCCCTCCCAGCGAGGCTCTGGGGAATGTTGACTGAAAACATTTATTAAGGATCTTGTTTGGTGTTATGTGCAGATTGGTTGCTGGCTTGTCATTGGAGGCTGGTGATTGAATTTGGCTGGTTTTAGACTGGGAAGACCCAGCTTGGCTTTTACTGATGCTTTACTGTATTTGGCAATCATGTATGTAATTTACTGTAGTGATGGATGAGGTCTAGTAGGGCTGTCTTTGAAGCTGGAGAAAGCTAGAAGCAAAGAAGACTGGAGAGGGATGAGGAGAGCGGGGAGGAGAAGGAGTATCTGTGCAGGAAGCAATATTCACAACTGTTCTTCAATAAGCATTTATGCACTTGGCTGAGGCGTAATGTCTCTGCTTCAAAACTCTCACCTGCTGAGCCAGAACTTGAGTCTACACTAAGACACACACAGCATAGCCTGTGGCCATTTGAGATCACTGTGGTCTGTATGTACAATTGGATCCTCACAGACTGCAGCAAGTATTATGAGAACAATTTCTCAATTTGAAGTCAACCATTCTGTCCATGAGGAGATTAAAACTGTCTAAATAAGAAGGAAGCCCAATATCTCTCCATATGGACAGAGCAAAGTCACAATGAACATTACACCTTTCCCATTTTGCAAGTTCCATCACCCTACCATTGGCAAACATGTTTTCAGCTGTCCATGCACTAAGCTATAGAATTCACTCCTTTATCGTAAATTGTAGCATGGAAGATGACCACTTTGTCCATGGTCCCTATGTTGACTATTTAAAAGAGCAATCCCATTAGAATTACTTGCCTCTTTCCCCAATGCTTGATGTCAACTTTTGACTAATAATGCCCCTATGTAGCACCTTAAACTTTCATCTTGATTTCCAAATTCTTTCATGTCCTCCCAATGCCATCGCTATCTCTGTCAACTCATGAGATCGGGAATATTCCAGATTGAACACAAACTCCAGGCTGAGGATAAAATCTGTTGGATGGATGCAACTGCACGTTGGTTTCCTGATATGATTTCACTCCAGCAATAAAACCTAGATCTGACACATTGTGTGCTTGCTCATTGGTGGACTGACAAGTGTTACCATGTATGATTTTTGGTCACCTTAGGTTCCTTCAGCCTGTAGGCCTCTGCATAAAGGCTGTTGATTCATGCTGTGCAGTAAGCTGGCACTTACCCCTGTGTGGCATTCTACTCCTCCTTCCTAGCTTCTACACATTTGTGCCCAATGCTGTACCACTCAATATCATCTTCCTTTCGTTTACTTTCTAAATCACACATGGCATTAATATCTGAGTTGGTGCTTTTGAGGATCAAGCCAAGTGATGGTGAATTTTCAAGAAAGCCAGTCTCCTCTTGCTAAAGCATCAAAAGCATTTCCACATTTTAAATAACCTGCAGTTAGGAAACAAAAATATGAGGTAAAAAACATGTTTGCTACTGATTCCATCCATTTCCCTGGCAACAGTTTGAGATTAAGTGAGTCTGCTCTCAGCAGTGGTGTCACATTTGATTCTGAAATGAGATTCTCACCACATTTGTATCCTCACTAAGACACCTTATTTCCACTTGGACAACATCAGTCAATTTTACCTCTGTTTCACCTCATTCGCTATAGTAACCCCTAATTGTGCCTTCACTATTTCTGGACTTGACTATTCTGCTGCATTCCTGGTTAGTTTCCCATATTCTACTCTCTGTAAACTTGAGGTTGTCCAAAACTCTGCTGCTTGTGCTTTGACTTGCAGATGTCATGCTCCCTCAACAGCCCTCTGTTTGCTGATCAGTATTAACTTCTGATCAGACAACACCTTTATTTTAAAATTCACATTCAAATTGTTTTGAGTTCCTTCTCTGGTCCCGCCCCTGCCTAACTCTGTAATCTCTGCCAGCTGCAAAACCCTTTGAGATAACTATGTTCCTTTAATTCTGGCCTTTTGCGTATCCACATTATTAATTGTTTGATCATTTATGGTAATGTCTTTAATTGCCTAGACCTTGAGCTCTGGAATTTCCTTCCTCCAATTATCTGCTTGGCTTCCTCCTTCAAGGCACCCCTTAAGTTCTATCTCTTTGATTTGATTTTTGGTCATCTGACCTAATATTGCCTTATGCTTAGTATCATACTATGTTTTGATAATCCTCCCTTAAGATGCTTCGGTACATTTTATTCAATGAAAGGTGCTACATAAATACGTTATTATTGTTTGGCTTAACATTTGATGGTGAAGGGAGAGCAGGGCATTAGTGGCTGGTAAATTTAGTTGCATAGCATGTGTAGAGTGAAAATCATAGAATCCCTACAGTGTGGAAGCAGGCCATTCGGCCCATCAAGTCCACACCAACCCTCCAAAGAGCATGCCACCCCCTACCCTATCCCTGCATTACCCATCCTAGACACTATGGGTAATTTAGCATGGCCAATCCACCTAAACTGCACATCTTTGGACTGTGGGAGGAAACCCACGCAGACATGGGGAGAATGTGCAAACTCGACACAGACAGTCATAGATCATAGAATCCCTACAGTGTGGAAAACAGGCCCTTAGGCCCAACAAGTCCACACCGACCATCAGTGCATCCCTCCAGGCCCATCCCCCGATAACCATCCTTGAACACTTCGGACCATTTAGCATGGCCAATCCACCTAGCCTGCACATCTTTGGACTGTGGGAGGAAACCCACACGGATACAGGGAGAACGTACAAACTCCACACAGACAGTCGCCTGAGGGTGGAATTGAACCTGGGTCCCTGGCGCTATGAGGTGGCAGTGCTAACCACTGAGCCACCGTGCCGCGCATGAGAGCAAGAATTGAAAAAGAGGAGGAAATGTGCAAAGACCTGAACGTAACATCTCCTCCAGTATCACCACTTGCAACATAAATGATTCTCCCCCTGCCTGTAATGGTCAGAGTTTTTTCTTCCATTGTGCAGACAAGATGCTGGTAGACTAAGGATCTTATGACATCAGTCTTCTTGTGCAGGTGTTTTGCGATCCTGACCTGCAGAGAAGGAAATGTGTTATTATAGCCCATTAGTTATATGGAAAAAAATGTTTATCATAATCAAATAGCTGGTATGCAGTGCGCAAGATATGAGGATTGTGATAATGGCTAGTGAGAGTGAATGAGGAAGTGAAGTATACAGTGAAATGAAGTACGGTTACTGTAGAAATGAGTGACAGAAAGAGGGACAAGGGAGTGTTGTGAAAATTGAAGGTGTGCATACAGTGTAAGGAAATAGTGTTATTCCCCTGACAACCCTGGTAAGGCGAATGAATATTGTCAGCATTCCACGCACGTCCTTGGAGCTAAAGCTTGACAATTACCTCTTTTACAACCTTTTGCCATTATTTGCAGTAACATTTCTGGAGGACTTTCTGCCCCCAAAGAGGAACAGGATCTCTCTCATCTGGTTTACTGCCTGGACAAGGTCTCCAAAGTAGCATCAATGAACCTGGGATCTTTCAGAGCATAATATGTAGTGATCATTTAACCTGCATCTGTGCCCTGCAGTGAATATTTGTGTGTAGCTTGCTCTCATCCCCTGCATAACTGATCTCAGACTTGATTATATTTCTAGGCTACCTTTTGCTGGTTTACACACAAGTGCTGCTAAGACCATGAAACATATAAATTTGTAATCTATATGTCAATATCAGTCAGAAACTAATTAATCAATGAGTTTAATTAACACATGTATTCCCAGGTGGAGGCGAAACTGATAGACAAATTGGACAGCTTAATGTCAGAAGGCAAAGGTGATGAAACTTACCGAGAGCTTTTCAACAGCATGTGAGTCATACATAACCTTATTTTACAGCTGTTGTTTACATGCTGAGATGTAATGGTGTTTCGACATTATACTTACATCTATTTGCTGCCTATTTTACTGTTTGCATCAAAATAAAAATTCAGTGGTGTCCAGCTTCCTCAGTGGGTAAATGCACTCAACACTGAAGTATCAATGCCAGAAATATCCATATTTGATTGGTGCTTAATGCTGCTTTCCCAGGCAGGGCATTCTGTCAGTCAGTAGCAAGTGCTGTTGAAAACAATGCAGGAAATAACCACAAATGTACGCAAAACTGCCTGCCTTTTGGTTTGCAGTTACATCATTTAAATTAAGGTTAGATCAGTCCTTGAGCATTAGCTATTTTGTAACCTTGCAGGATTCATTGTAATAAAATACAAACAAAACCTGTTATTCAAAAAGAAAACAGGTCATGAAAACAGCCATGTATTTTTTCAAAGGAAGATCCTGTAAGGTTGAGGCATATCCTGCATGGAATTGCAGAATAAACGATTGCAAAGGGGCAGCCTATTTTATGCATGTGCTATTGCTTGATTTTACACCCTACCCAAGGCACACTTCTCCCCTGGTCAATTGAAGGAAGGAAGAAAGCTTATTGGCAGGTATTAAACAAGATTCACTTGCTTATACCGTCCTCTTTCCCTTGCATTGATTTTTTTTCCCTTGCATTCGAGATACAATGCACATATTTAAAGTACCCTTTCTCATGTCATTGCATTCACAACAATAAGTCGACAATGTCTCGTTTGATTTGGAAGCTATTGTCTTTAGATGATCTTCTATTAGGGAAGTCTTACGATAAGGACTGAAATTAGCTTAATCAAAGGCATTTGGTTACCTTGCTGTGAAGAAAATGTCAAACAGCCCTCTCTTTACAAGCTGGAAAAGCTTAAATGTACCTAATAGGTAATATATTTGGGCGGTTGCTTTACCCGAAACACTACCTAGGTAGTGTCTCCCACCCATCCTCCTCCTCTAACCAAAAAAAAAGGTTCTGAGCGCTGATTTGGTAAGGCTACTAGTATATATTTTTTTTAATTTGTCTGTTTGGGAATTCAGAACAGTGGGAATGGATGTTAGGGCAGTTGTATGCTCCTCCTGTAGAATGTGGGAGGTAAGGGTCACCACTAGTGTCCCCACTGACTTCATCTGCGGGAAGTGCACCCAACTCCAGCTCCTCGGAAACCGTGTTAGGGAACTGGAGCTGGAGCTGGATGAACTTCGGATCATTCAGGAGGCTGAGGGGGTAATTGAGAGGAGTTACGGGGAGGTAGTCACACCTCAGGTACAGAAAAAAAGTAGATGGGTTACAGTCAGGGGACGGAAAGGGAACAGGCAGACAGTGCAGGGATCCCCTGTGGCAATTCCCCTCAAAAACAAGTATACCGTTTTGGATACTGTTGGGGGGGATGACTTACCAGGGGTAAGCCATGGGGTACAGGTCTCTGGCACAGAGTCTGTCCCTGTTGCTCAGAAGGGAAGGGGGGAGAGGAGGAGAGCATTAGTCATTGGGGACTCCATAGTTAGGGGGACAGATAGGAGATTCTGTGGGAACGAGAGAGACTCGCGGTTGGTGTGTTGCCTCCCAGGTGCCAGGGTCCGTGATGTCTCGGATCGTGTTTTCGGGATCCTTAAGGGGGAGGGAGAGCAGCCCCAAGTCGTGGTCCACATAGGCACCAACGACATAGGTAGGAAAAGGGATGGGGACGTAAGGCAGAAATTCAAGGAGCTAGGGTGGAAGCTTAGAGCTAGAACAAACAGAGTTGTTATCTCTGGTTTGTTACCCGTGCCACGTGCTAGCGAGGCGAGGAATAGGGAGAGAGAGCAGTTGAACACGTGGCTACAGGGATGGTGCAGGAGGGAGGGATTCAGATACCTGGATAATTGGGGCTCATTCTGGGGTAGGTGGGACCTCTACAAACGGGATGGTCTACACCTGAACCAGAGGGGTACCAATATCCTGGGGGGGAAATTTGCTAATGCTCTTCGGGAGGGTTTAAACTAATTCAACAGGGGGGTGGGAACCTGAATTGTAGCTCCAGTGTACAGGAGGTTGAGAGTAGTGAGGTCATAAATAAGGTTTCAAGGTTGCAGGAGTGTACCGGCAGGCAGGAAGGTGGTTTGAAGTGTGTCTACTTCAACGCCAGGAGCATCCTGAATAAGGTGGGTGAACTTGCAGCATGGGTTGGTACCTGGGACTTCGATGTTGTAGCCATTTCGGAGACATGGATAGAGCAGGGACAGGAATGGTTGTTGCAGGTTCCGGGGTTTAGATGTTTCAGTAAGATCAGGGAAAGTGGTAAAAGAGGGGGAGGTGTGGCATTGTTAGTCAAGGACAGTATTACGGTGGCAGAAAGGACGTTTGATGACAACCCGTCTACTGAGGTAGTATGGGCTGAGGTTAGAACCAGGAAAGGAGAGGTCACCCTGTTGGGAGTTTTCTATAGGCCTCCGAAAAGTTCCAGAGATGTAGAGGAAAAGATTGCAAAGATGATTCTGGATAGGAGCGAAAGTAACAGGGTAGTTGTTATGGGGGACTTTAACTTTCCAAATATTGACTGGAAACGCTATAGTTCGAGTACTTCAGATGGGTCAGTTTTTGTCCAATGTGTGCAGGAGGGTTTCCTGACACAGTATGTAGATAGGCCAACAAGAGGCGAGGCCACATTGGATTTGGTACTGGGTAATGAACCAGGCCAGGTGTTAGATTTGGAGGTAGGAGAGCACTTTGGTGATAGTGACCACAATTCGGTTACGTTTACTTTAGCGATGGAAAGGGATCGGTATATAAAGCAGGGCAAGAGTTATAGCTGGGGGAAAGGCAACTATGAGGCGATGAGGCAAGATTTAGGATGCATAGGATGGAGAAGAAAACTGCAGGGGCTGGGCACAATTGAAATGTGGAGCTTGTTCAAGGAACAGCTACTGCGTGTCCTTGAGAAGTATGTACCTGTCAGGCAGGGAGGAAGTGGTCGAGCGAGGGAACCGTGGTTTACTAAAGAAATTGAATTTCTTGTCAAGAGGAAGAAGGAGGCTTATGTAGAGATGAGGCGTGAAGGCTCAGTGAGGGCGCTTGACAGTTACAAGTTAGCCAGGAAGGACCTAAAGAGAGAGCTAAGAAGAGCCAGGAGGGGACATGAGAAGTCTTTAGCAGGTAGGATCAAGGAAAACCCTAAAGCTTTCTATAGGTATGTCAGGAATAAAAGAATGACTAGAGTAAGGTTGGGGCCAGTCAAGGACAGTAGTGGGAAGTTGTGCGTGGAGTCCGAAGAGATAGGAGAGGTGCTAAATGAATATTTTTCGTCAGTATTCACACAGGAAAAAGACAATGTTGTCGAGGAGAATACTGAGATACAGTCCATTAGACTGGACGGGATTGAGGTTCATAAGGAGGAGGTGTTAGCAATTCTGGAAGGTGTGAAAATAGATAAGTCCCCTGGGCTGGATGGGATTTATCCTAGGATTCTCTGGGAAGCTAGAGAGGAGATTGCAGAGCCTTTGGCTTTGATCTTTATGTCGTCGTTGTCTTCAGGAATAGTGCCAGAAGACTGGAGACTAGCAAATGTTGTCCCCTTGTTCAAGAAGGGGAGTAGAGACAACCCTGGTAATTATAGACCAGTGAGCCTTACTTCGGTTGTGGGTAAAGTGTTGGAAAGGATTATAAGAGATAGGATTTATAATCATCCAGAAAGGAATAATTTGATTAGGGATAGTCAACATGGTTTTGTGAAGGGTAGGTCGTGCCTCACAAACCTTATTGAGTTCTTCGAGAAGGTGACCAAACAGGTGGATGAGGGTAAAGCGGTTGATGTGGTGTATTTGGATTTCAGTAAAGCGTTTGATAAGGTTCCCCATGGTAGGCTATTGCAGAAAATACGGAGGCATGGGATTGAGGGTGATTTAGCGGTTTGGATCAGAAACTGGCTAGCTGTAAGAAGACAGAGGGTGGTGGTTGATGGGAAATGTTCATCCTGGAGTTCAGTTACTAGTGGTGTACCGCAAGGATCTGTTTTGGGGCCACTGCTGTTTGTCATTTTTATAAATGACCTGGATGAGGGCGTAGAAGGATGGGTTAGTAAATTTGCGGATGACACCAAAGTCGGTGGAGTTGTGGATGGTGCAGAAGGATGTTGTAGGTTACAGAGGGACATAGATAAGCTGCAGAGCTGGGCTGAGAGGTGGCAAATGGAGTTTAATGCGGAAAAGTGTGAGGTGATTCACTTTGGAAGGAGTAACAGGAATACAGAGTACTGGGCTAATGGTAAGATTCTTGGTAGTGTGGATGAGCAGAAAGATCTCGGTGTCCATGTGCATAGATCACTGAAAGTTGCCACCCAGGTTGATAGCGTTGTTAAGAAGGCGTACAGTATGTTAGGTTTTATTGGTAGAGGGATTGAGTTTCGGAGCCATGACGTCATGTTGCAGCTGTACAAAACTCTGGTGCGGCCGCACTTGGAGTATTGCGTACAGTTCTGGAAGGATGTGGAAACATTGGAAAGGGTGCAGAGGAGATTTACCAGGATGTTGCCTGGTATGGAGGGAAGGTCTTATGAGGAAAGGCTGAGGGTCTTGAGGCTGTTTTCGTTAGAGAGAAGAAGGTTAAGAGGTGACTTGATAGAGACATACAAGATGATCAGAGGATTAGATAGGGTGGACAGTGGGAGCCTTTTTCCTCGGATGGTGATGGCTAGCACGAGGGGACATAGCTTTAAATTGAGGGGTGATAGATATAGGACAGATGTCAGAGGTAGGTTCTTTACTCAGAGAGTAGTAAGGGCGTGGAATGCCCTGCCTGCAAAAATAGTAGACTCGCCCACTTTAAGGGCATTTAAATGGTCATTGGATAAACATATGGATGATAATGGAATAGTTTCGGTTAGATGGGCTTCAGATTGGTTTCACAGGTCGGCGCAACATCGAGGGCCGAAGGGCCTGTACTGCGCTGTAATGTTCTATGTTCTATGTTCTAATTTAAAACATTTTAAAACTTAAAGAAGCAGCACAATCGGGGATAGACAATGAATGTGGGCCTAGCCATTCATGGGTTTCATTTTGACCTCTGTCACAAATCCACAGATTCCCAAATGTCTTGAATATGCTTCCCCACAATCCATCTCCTGTGAATGAATGATTTTAACAGAAAATGTTGTAAGTCGGCAGCTGAAGACACTAAAATGATTTAGCTAGCACTGTGTAGTTCATAAGGGGCGAAGAGAAGGAAATGATCACAATGATTGTGAAGTCAGAGGAAGACACCTGCCCAGCTCTTGTCACTTAATGCCCTTGAATGTCATGTTGGGATCTAAAGCTGGTTTTAGGCCCTAGGTTTGCATGTGAAACAGCCCTGTTCCCAGGGTATGACAATTGCCAAGGACACCTATTTGGGATGGCCACCAAAAATGTCAGAAAGATGACCTAACCTGAATGCAGGTTGGAATTTTTTGAAGAGTCTTTTGGACACAGAACCTTTTGTCTAGAATTTAGGCCTTGTTCTTGCAATATGAGTGCCATGAAGTTCAATTTCTCTTTAACTTGCTACAGATGCCGTGCACTCGTTGGCAATACAAATTTTTGGAAGTCAGTTACACATAAGACGTTATTATTTTTAGACTCCTACGGAAGTCACATTACTACAAAAATATTAACTAGACTAATCAATTAATTGTAAAACCCGCGTTGAAATTCTAAACCAACTAAAATCCATTATTATGAGTTTTAAAATACTGTGAGATTGATTTCAATGACATAAGTTTAAAAATAAGCACGTAAAAGGTTAATAAAATATTTTTATTTTTAAAATCTTCTTCCTACTGCCAAAGGTGTACAATGCGTTTGCAGACCTCTGCCAATGCAGCTCTGAGTTAATCTTCAACAACAAAACAGCTCAGATTGTGTCTCCATGTTGAACAGTCAGGAATGTAAACCAGTTATGAAGGAATTTCAAAGCTGGTTCTCCCCATAAGATTACGCCCACAGAAGGAAAATACCAAAGGGGTCACAATCAATTAAATATCAATGTGTTTTACAGTGATTTACACAAATATGAGATATTTTCTGTTTCATGGTGTTATCTGCAAGAATATTTTCAAAACTAGATTCACTATGTTACCTACAATTTTATGTTTATTGTTATAGTTTTCTCCCATGCAATAAGAAAGGATGGCATTTGTCAGGCCCTGAATCCAGTTATTCATAGACAATAATGTTGATGCCATTTGCTCTGATTTTGATAATTTCTTTAAATATACTTCCAATTCTCACCAGTCTCTCACCTTTGCATGGTTGCTCTCTATCTTTTACCTTACCTTCCTATATTTTTTCCCCACTGCATCTTCAAAAATGGACTTCACACTGATTTCTATTACAATCCCACAGATCTCTCTCTCTCTCTTTCTCTCTTTCTCTCTCATTAATATATTTTACATCTGGTTAGCTACATCTGGTTTGATGAGTTCCATTCAGTTGCCAACACATTTCCTCCACTGGCAATATTGAATAAAGACCTTGACCAGCTTGATATATTTCCTGTATTTCTGTTCCCCCACCCTTCTCGCAGCACAACAGAAACAAGGTCATTCTTTCCCTCACCTATCACCGCAGTGATCTTCTGAATTAACAAGATATTTTTTACCATCGACCATGCGTTCCTACCACCAAGTATATTTCTGTTCCCCTCTCCTCATTGCTTTCCTAATGTATGACTCTTTCCCTCTATCATTCACTCTTCTAGCTTTTGTTTCCTTGCATTATTCTGTTATTATTATAACAGATGCAACGCCTATTTACTCATCTCTTCCAACATTACAATGCAGAGTCCCAAATGCTCCTCGTGTGAAAAAGTAATTAATGTGTGCTTCCTTCAGTATAGTACACTGTCTTCACAAGATCACAAAGTAATTATAGATGAGGAAAACCATTTGGTCCATCTTAGCTCATTTGTATGGAATCTTTTAAAGTCTTCCATTAGAACACTAGAATGATTGCAGGGATTTTGTCGACTGTACTGTATGTTTTGAAGTCTGAATCTTGGCAATGTTCACTAATAGAAAACTTAATGAGAATCATATGTGTTGCCCTCCCTCAAGATGTCAGAATTTCTGCTCCCTCACCACCCCATCTCACATTTGCACCAGAAGATCAGCTGGACCTGCTTGCTGTGGCAGAAGCTGAGGTGTGGCAGTCCACAGCTGGGCCTGCAAATACTCAACTACCCAGAAGTTACTGGCCATGTGAAGGCCAATATGAGCATAACCCCTTATGAGCATTAGCTTTATTGAGGTCTCTGGGAATGATCTTGTCAAAGCTGTTGAGCTTTAGGCATCTTCGTATAATAAATTATCCTCCGTTGACTTCTGGGTGAGAAATGAACAGAAGACAAATATTAGGTTTGTCATTAGATTTATCACCATTATCACATTTTGGCCTAATGCGGTTTCATAATTTGTCAGTGTGATACTGATGTAAAATTTGGCTGAAAGGTTTAAATGTCCTTTATTTCAGCAGGAAGAGAATTGTGAAGGCTGCAACAAAGGCTGTAAATACAGAGAGATGAGATTGTGCAGCATGCAGCTTGCCACTATGATGTTTATGTTATGCCCCTCTGGAGCATATTTTCAGGAGTCTCAGACATATCAAGGCACCTATACCTCTGCTTGGGTATCTGGATTGTAGTTCCTTGTCTTTTAATTATATGTGTCTGACTCAGATGTGGCGAGGTTATTTGGGGTTGAAACAAACCATTACTCTTTCCTTTTCATAATGGAATGCTGTCACGGGATAAATGCATTGTCACAGCAACTCAGGGACTTTATACAGATTTTATATGAACCTGTTTCTGTGATTGGATATCAATCTTATACTTAAGACTTGTATTCTGGTGTCTCAGTGAGAATGTGTAATGCTGTTCATTATACCCTTGATGCAGTAGAAGTTAGTTATTGATGCAAAACTCTGACCGTTCTCGTGCTGGTTGTTAAGGTCAATGTGGAAAATGTACAAGCAAACTGGTGAATTTGCTTATTGCAGCTGTGTTGTTAACTGGAAGATGCAGTCCTCTGTAGTAGAATAGAAGGAGTTAATGGCATATAAATGGGAGGCTGTGACTGCTTGAGAACCACTGGCAAAATGCAATCACCTGTCCCAGTAAGCAGCAGATCCTGTCACTGTGGTCTGCAGAAATCAGTTGTAGACCCCTTCAAGATATGCAACTTGCCTGCTCCAGATCATTTGAAGAAAGTGGCTCTTGGCCTGACATATTGTGCTGGGTAGGGCCTCCGACAAGCAACCCCAAACCTCTGCCTTGCAATAGGTCCAGTTAGCAACCAGTGTTGATTTCTGAGGCTGAGGCTGATGCTGCTATTCTTCCTGCTTTAGCTGTACCTCTATCCAAAAGAAGTCAGCAATAAAAACAATCATGATCAGCAGTAATAGGGCAATATGGTAAAGAATGTGAAAAAAAAATGACCTGGATGCTGGAGACTCCTTTGGCAACCCAAACAGTATGATGGCACACCCACCATCTAATGCAGTCACTCATCCCATTCAGCAATGATTCATTAAGAGCCAGACTGCTTAAAATTACTGTGATGTAGTTTGGCCCAGTTGAATTGCTGACACTATGGCAGATATTGAAGGGGTGATGAGAGAGCAGACATTGAGACATCCTGAAAGTGGGTGACACCATATAGTTCCAACACAATGGGCGTTCAATCAACTGCACATGTTGTGTAGTTGAGATAACAATGGACAGAAGCACGCCAGGATACAAAAATAATGTTTCCTTGCTATTTTAACCAGTGTCCCCACTCCATTCCTTTTTGGTGACGAAACCTAAAATTGGTGCCTTAATTTTTGCTTCTAGTAGTTATGGAGACAAGACAAGAGAATATAATTTTCCCTTTCAACTTAAAACTATGTAAAAAGAAAACAGCAATAATATCTGAGAGTTTTTTTTGATTAACATGTACATTGTCCCTATTTTAATTACTATCGAAGCTTTTTAACTTGGCAAGATCTGATTTTGACAACGTATCAGAAAATGGAAATAAATAGTACATTTCCAAAGAGGCAGATTCACTATATTATCCCAAACTTCACAGTCAGAAACAATGCGTCATGTCTTATGTAATACCCAATAACAAGGTATTCTCTCATTTTAGGAGAAATGTTTGAAAATTCAGATTTAACGTAACTTGATCTGTAAATCATTGATGATTTCTTTTAAATACTCATACCATGCAATTTGCAGTGCAATAATTTTAAAAGTAAATTTGTCTTTTTGCTAAATGAACTTGAAGGGTTAACATTAATACCTTAACAGTTCCTCAACTGGCAGTCTCTTTTTACCTTTGTTGTGATTTGATAGAATTACATTTAATGTTTTGTAAAGGTAAAAATTCAAATCAGGCACACAAATGCGGTATATTCCTATTGCATATTTACTTTTCCCATAGCAATTATGCTAATTTTACTTTTTTAAAAAAAGAGCCAGTTATAATGACAAAATAAGCAAAGAAGGTTGTAGCCATGACAACGTACTTTTGACGCAGACTGCTGCTGAGGAGAATCTGTCGCTATTGCTTCTTTCATGGATAATGTAAAAATTCATTTGTTTTGCCAATGCTTCCTGGATCTAGAATTCCACTTTTTGGGCCTTACCCTAGGTAAGATGTTGCTACAATTATATTTTGGAGTGCTTACTGTGATACGGTGTAACTCGTGAAATACAAATGACTGGTGTAACCTATTACTGAAATAATTACTACACTGTGTAATGTGAGACATCAACGAAATGTGAATCGGGGCTTGTGGTTGCACTGCACTTGTTTCAAATAAACCAGGTCAGAACACTGACAAATTCCTTTCTATCTGCAGCCTGCTGAAGAAAATTGAGAGAGAAACCTGGCGAGAAAGTGGTATTTCTCTAGTAGCTACTGTAACTCGCCTAATGGAAAGGTTGCTGGATTACAGGTGAGACTTGACAGTTCTTGCTTTTACTGCATGTTGAAAAATTGGAAGGTATAATTTTTTTTCAAACTTGAACAGAAAACTATGGTGTTAATTTGTGTATTTACATTGGTAATGCAGGAGCTGAAATTCATATGATTGTATACTGTTTATCATTTTACTGGTTTCTATCTAGCGGATGCACCATTGTGGACACTTACTGTGTGTGCAAACAAACAACTATTACATGGTCAACAAAACATTTTTGACACGATTTTCTTTCTTATTTTGCGTTCAGTGCTATCGTCGTTTTTTTTCCATCGTGTAGAACAATTTCCCTCATGAGTGTCAACGTCCTATTGATATGCTAAGAACTGCAGGGGACACTGGTAATGTGAATAAACTGTAATTGCTTTCCATTTGCAGAGACTGCATGAAAGTGGCAGAGGTTGATGGCAAAAAGATTGGCTGTACAGTTAGCCTGTTGGTCAGTATCTATTTAATTTATCTGTTCGATCCAAAAGGGGTGGTTCTTGAATATAGCAATCATCTCCAAAAATCCTGAATTAAAAAAGACATTTGAATCACTTCTAGTTATAAATTCAATTTGGTAGAGCTGCTTTTTAGGGTATCAACTTTGGCCAGCATTAAGCTACATAACGAGAGTTTAAGCTCACGATTGCCAATGCTACTGAATTTCTGATCTTAGCAAGATCACCAGTGGTTAAATACCAACCTGAAATCTGGTTGTTGGCCACAGGGTAGGAACTGGTGGTTTGCTAGTAGCTCATTTAGGGAGAAAACTGTCTGCCATAGCTTTTCTAAATTATGGAAAAATCAGAGGACTGGGTTGAAAATGGAAAGAAGCATTTTCCTTAAGTCATCAGTGACATTGAAGACTTATGTCGTTAGCTATGGTGCTGCTGTTGTTGCTACCGTAGACAGCGCAACTCGTTCTGTAGTAGCATCTCTTGGTTTGCTACTGTCAAATATTGACCTATGATAGCCTTAAACCTCTTGGTATTAATGACTGAAAAGCTAGCTTTTGAAGTTGGCTTTTGGCCAACTGGAGATTCCATCTGCACAATGGGCAGTGTGTCATAAAAGAAAAGAGGTAATTCAAAGTGTTTGGGGTTTTTTTCCCCTTTAGGGAACAAGGTCTTGGAGATGTCATGCATTTCTTTTGAAATGAAAGGAAGAAGAAAACTTGTCAAGCATGCACAATATATTTATTCATTTTTTAAACTTCAAACTGTTTACTTAATTTTTGCATTATAGGGTTAACATTTAAAGAGATTATCCTGATATTTGAGTATTATTATAATATTCTAGCTTAATTCAGTATGACAGTTCACATGCTGTAAATTCGAAAGAAAGATGCTCAACTGAGAAGCTTGTTTACACTGGAAGGATGGTAAAGAGAAACTTGAAATCTATACCTCTGTTTATTTTCATCCTCGAGCTGTTTGCATCCTCCTTTATACCTCCCCTGCTTTGAGAAACAACCTATGTGAGGGCCAATCAGCTGTAGATGCTTTGGATAAGCTTAGAAAAGCTGTAGATTTCTTGCAATAAGGCCACATCCTTCATTTATATAACCTGTTTATTCATACCAAAGCACCAAAGCATTTTTGTTGATATATTGTAGTTTTGATGATCGTATGATCAAGTGTAGAACTTAGTCTGACGTCCATAGATCACCTTCTAGTGTCGTCAGGAATGTTATTTTTGGCCTGTTTTCATGTGTCATTTCCCTATGGTGAGAAAGTATAACATAGCAACTTGGTAATTATTAACGCTGCATTGTTTGCATTATGGACCACATTATCCCTGAAACAAAAAAGAAGAAAGAAATAAAATAATATTGGTAAATTGGCATGTTAGAATAGAATGTTTTTATTCCAAGGGCCTAAATTTGAATCAGGATGATAGTCTTGCCTTCTTTCTGGAGAAAATGATCCTATGTGATCCTCCTAATCAAGTACAGTACAAAAGTACCCACATTTGGCCACCAATTAGGAAGTCCTACAAGGAAATCAAACAGAGGATCAAGGTAGAAAATGTAAATTCTACAGGGGTGCAAACTGGCTTTCCCCAGCACTATGGGATGAACAGTATCAGGGAGTTGACAAATGTTTAGGGGAGGTCTGGGTGGCATGATTAATATTCTTTCACAGCCGTGCCATTTGTGACATGAAAGGTGGCAAATCAGCTACCTGCCCAGAGCCTAGTTGAGCCACTTAAGGGACGCAACCTGTCTCCACGGACATTTTAATCTATTGGGAAGATCTACTGCTGTGGAGGGGGCTGCCAGGTAAGCCATAACGGCTTCTAAGGACACTTGCACTCTAGCATTCTTCGGCCCAAAGGAGAACTGGCTCTCACTGTGGTAAAGACACGGCGTGCCTCCTGGCCCTGGTCCCGGTCCCGGATCTCATTTCTTTGTCTTTTAGGGAACGTGACCATCAATGTTACCTCATCATCTCAATGCAGCTACAGTAACAATAGTGCTGCCCTATGATTGGCCCAACAGTGTGCAGAGATGAGCAACCATTAGGTACCACTGCCTATTGAAGCAGGGTTCCTGATTGCTTTGGCCCCAGTATTAGGACACCTGATGCTTCTGCAAAATTTCAGCTGTAGGCTAAAGTGAACACATCATTGGCGGAGAGAAGAGGAAACTTTACTCTTCATCTGGACAGTTTCTAATTGTGTGCCTTAGTGGAAATATCCACAAATAAGCCATGACCTTATCACAGAAGGAAAATTTGATATTGGCCTTGCAGACAAGTTAATTTTAACCACTTTGTCGTACAGAACTTGAATAATGTTGGGAAAAAGATCCAGCTATTGATGTTTTTCTTTTTGCACTCAACAAGACAGGCACAAGAATACAAAATGTCAAAGGGAACAATAATTTATACTGCATGAGAAATAATGTTGGCAAATGAACTCTGGTCAGACATTGCTTTGGAAATGTGCCGGGGAATATTTTCCCCAAAGGTTAACATTATTAGTTAGGCCTACATTGTGGTCTGCTTAAGTTTGCTGGAAGCTACATGTATTCGTATGCAGGGCCTGGTTCTCTGTAGGCAGTGTGCTTTTTCAATGAAACAAAAGTTTGAGGGACGCTTTTGAATTCCTTAAGGCACATTTTGACTAATCCGAGACTTTTAAATTTAAACGAAGTTGTGGGGGTGAGAGATCCCCAGTGTATTCTCCATGTTAATGCCTTGACCAAATATGCCTAATTTGGCAACCAATCAGCACCCTGTTTCTTAAGTAGTATAAATTATTATTCTCTTTGAAATTCTTGCATCTGACCTGATGAGTGCAAAACAAAAATCTTCAGCAGCATATCTTTTTCAATAGACTACTTTTATTTTCTAGTTTCTTATTGTATGATTTTTATAGCTCAAGGTTACTATCTGTAGTTTTACTTGAATTATGCCTCATTGATGGTTTTCTCTGAATTAGTATTGTCAACAATGTTTTAATACTTTCTAATAGCAAGTTAATTTTTGCAATCATTTTCATCACCACTGGGGATTTAGAAACAATGTATTGACCTGTATCTGGTCAGCCAAGATGATGGTAGAAATTACAAATGATATTGAACGTCTTCATTTGATGAAAAAGTCTTTTTTAACCTCAGGTTAATATTGAGGCAAGGAAGAGTGTACAGTGGGAAGGAGTCCATCAATCTTTTGCTAAAATGTTGCCAGAGGCTGCATATTTTAAACAGTGGCAAATACATTTCTGAGCATTTCCTCTCCATTGAAAAATTAGTTTTATTTTTCTTATTCATTTATCATGTAAACAGTGTTAGAATGTTAAGTGTACATAATTTCAGACATTTGGATGTTACATTATGGATTTTTTTTGTTTACCTATACAGTGTTTAATTTGTTACAGAACAGAATACAACGTAGATTAATCTTTCTTTTGAAGAGATTCTTTCAGTACTTAAATACTGTCTTAGTAAGGATATCCTGTCACTTCACTATGCTTTGCATTTTTACGCAATCTACAGTATTATTAAATATACAAAAGCTATATTGAGATATTTAATGACAATATTTTGATGAAATTTTACTCAGCATTTGAAATGTGGAGCCACACCAAAACCGAGAATAGAAAGAAATGTATGAATTCTTATTTATAAGTTTAAAAAGAACTCTTACTGTAAAAAATTTTTCTAATAACAGATTTCCAATTGATTTACAGAATTTTTATAAAACAGAAATAAATAAAGAAGAAATGTACATCCGTTACATTCATAAGCTGTATGATTTGCATTTAAAGGCACAAAACTTCACAGGTATGTTGTGGTTTAACAGGGAAATTATATTTGCCTAATTTTTACTTGCTCAATAGTTTTAGTTCAAGTTCTCTAGAATCAGGGTATTAGTTGCTCATGTTTTGCTACCAAGGGTGAAAATTTTACTTGTCTATACCTTTAACTGAGAAAAATGGAACTTGCTGAGTCCCAGATCTGGAAAAGATACCTTTCTTCCAGCTTTTAGGGGCTCCATATAAGTGGGAATTACTGTTATCGTCCTTGCGTATTTGTTGCTTTTGTTTTAATTTAGTGAGCTTGAATTACTTATCAAGATGATTCATCCTTTTTTTTTTGAAAGACCTTATCTGTTCTTTAAGAAGGAGCTGACTGAGTTCCCCCGCTTTACTTGAGGCTGATCATGTGCAATCTTCTCTGAAGTTGCAGATGAAACATACATTTGGACTCACAGTTACATGACATCTAACCTCCAGCATAAACTTCCTAAGTGCACTTAAAGGACATGGGGTTGTAAAGAGGAAAGGAGGAAATCAGGCACTGAGCAATGTTTCAGGTGTCAGGAGTGTGGGATGGAAAAATGGCGAAGTTTTGGAAAGGTTGAAGCTTTTGTAGGTATGAGAATGAGAAGTTAAGAAAAATGTGAGAAATGGTTTTCAGCAAGATGAAATGGGAGTAGAAATCAGTCAGATAGCTGAAATGGAAATGGGTATTGTGGTGATAAACAGGGTGTAGAAACTGACGATCACTTCTTCAAGAGTTAGGCATAGACTTTAACAGTGTGAGACAGTGGAGGACAGGAGTTCAAAATGCAAAAATAGTAAAGTTGGCCCGAAGCTGTTGAGTAAGCAAATGTGTTTACAGTGCAAGATTATGTTGGACATGAGTGTTCCAAAATTGAGAGACTTTATTATAACTAAATATTTCTCAATACTGTTCTCACAATGCACCTGGGCGTGTAATTTAAATTGAACAATTTCCAAGGACTCAGGGCATCGGGGACTAAGTGGAGACAGTAGCTGTGTGCTTTTTGCATCACTTCTTATGAGCTAGAAAAAGCAAAAGTGCTTCTCAGCACTTGAAGGAATCCTTCAAGCTACCTTCTACCAAACACAACCTCTTTCTCTCCATGTGTTAGAAGTGCCAATCTTCCAGTCCTGTCCTTCCTCCCATGATTGCCTTTCTACCCTAACCCCTCACCCTAGTTCCAATCAATTCGTCTTGCTCCTTTGATTGACACTGTTCGTCCCTACCAGAAACTAGCTCTAATCTCACACAACCGCTCACCTCCCAATTGCTGAGGACTTCCGCTTCAGATTTTCTACAACTGCTTGGCATGAAATAGAAAGATAAAGTGACTATATAGTCCTACTGTTCTCCAGGGCCTTCATGATGCCAGCATTTCTGAATCTACCCCACCCTACACATGCCTGATTCCCTGCACTCTACCAACCTTCCTGGGGTTCTACAATCTCCAGCTCAAGCTAAGAAGCAGTCAGTAAACAAGTGATTCATGCATAACCAGATGACTTACAGTTCATCAGTGATTAACCAAGGTTGATGGACAGAATTAAATCATATGCCCTTAGCAAATATATGGAAAATGATTCACACTTGTGGCTCGTGATGCAGAAAGGAAAAATGTTGATGAGGTCAAGGACAGGGTAAAAAATGAAACTGCAGGAAACACAGAAGTAGAAAAAGCATTGAAGGAAATATTCTGGTGACACTGGGGAAGTTGAGTGTGGTTCAGTCATATATGTGACAGGAGGTTGGAATGGCCTGCTTATTGATGGTTGCAGAACATCAAACCTCCAAGTGGGTAACAAGGGTTAATGTATTGTTATTACAACTGAATGACATGTAGTAGATTACTTTCACACAAACCGTCTTGTTTAAGGCAGGATAGAAATGAGAAATGTGAACACGCAGTGGTGACTCATATGATTGAGATTTTGCACTGTGCTAAGACTTTTGAGGACTGTTTGGGAAAAAAAATTAAGGTTTCAAATTGAAGGAGAATTTAGAGTGTACACAGCTGGATTGTTTTTCAAGAGTTAGGATAACAGCAGTTGGTGTGATATTGCATAATTCTAGTTGAAAGCCAATAAGACGGCAATATTGTCATGTTAGATGATTTGGTTACAAATTATATTAAGTTGTTTACACCAAAGCCCCTTTACCTGCTAAGAATACCCACACTACATTGTTCAGTACATAGAATCATAGAATCCCCTAGTACAGAGTCAGGCTATTCAGCCCATTGAGTCCACACCAACCCTCTGAAGAGCATTCCACCCAGCTCCACCCCTCTACCCTATACTTGTCGTTCTGCATTTCCCATCACTAATCCATCTAGCCTGCACATCCCTAGACGCTATGGGCAATTTAGCATGGCAAACGCTTCTAACCTGCAGATCTTTGGACTGTAGGTGGAAACCCATGCAGCCACAGAGGAGAATGTGCACACTCGACACAGACAGTCACCCAAGGCTGGAATTGCACCCGGGTTCCCTGGCCAATAGAAAATGTTGACTGCCCCATGGGTTGCTCCCTATTAATATGCATGAATTAGAAAATAATTGCATTTTACTATAATGTTTAAAGATAAAAATGAAGGTAGAAGCCACTTTCCATGCACCTTATTTGGTTATACTTCGAAGCATATTTTGAACTTAATCAGATGATTTGCAACATTTTCAGTTTTCACGACTTTCATAGCTCTCATAGAGTCTCTACATAGCAAAATTCAACAGTGAAAATTCTCAACACTTTCAAAGCAATACAATGAGGTGCAATTTCTTTTTCCATCCTAAGAGAATTTCTACAACTAACACCATAGGTCAAACTAATCTTGGTTCAACTGTAAGCCATAAACATTTTTGAACCTCCTGCACATGCCTAATAATTTGGAAAAAGTCCCTGACAGCTCATTTACTGAAATGTTTATTTTACTTTTTAAATGTATCGTCCGACTTGGGAGTAGATAATGCATTTCAAAAGGGTAAAGTCAGTTTTGTTTTATTAAAAATGAGCAATACTCATTTATTATTTTTAATACTGGACAGGATGCTACAAATTTTGACTGGCCAAAAGGCATGGATTCCCTAGTCCATATAGTCAGAGGACAGGCTTGAAAAATTATAATCCAAAATCATATGATGACACATACCAACAAATGATCCCATTTAGCAGGCAAAATAAATGAATATTGTATTATTCATTTAACTTTTTATTTTAATGTTATGAAACATTGACATATTTAAAGATTTTGTTTTATTTTGTAACTTAACTTGTGGTTTCTCATTTGGGATATATCTGTTCAACACTATTCTGTAACACAGAAGCTGCGTACACTCTGCTTTTGTATGATGAGCTCCTGGAGTGGTCAGAGAGGCCACTGCGAGAATTCCTTCATTATCCAATGCAGACTGAGTGGCAGCGCAAGGAGATTCTTCATCTCACCATCATCCAGAACTTTGACAAAGGCAAAGTAAGTTCAGCAATAGCAGTTTGTGTCCGTACGCTAAACTTTGCTATCTGTTTTTGCATTTGACCTCCACTCACTGCTGTGCAAAGCAAATTACAAACATTCATCTGCTCTCTCTCTCTCTCTCTGTCTGTCTCTATTATTTTCAGTGCCCTTAAACTTTTAAAAACCCAATTCTCAACCATTTCATTCATAGTTTTTCTTTAATCTCTCTTTGCCTGGGCTGGGGCTTAGCAATTGCAAAGTCCTAATCAAATGTTGCTAATGTGTTTATGAATTTATTGCTTCATTGTGTCCTTTTAGTCTGGTTGCAGTTTTTCTATGTTTCTGTTCTAGAATTTACTGTGTGCATGAAAACTGAGGGCTTTGCAAACCTAAGAAGGCAGCTTTGCAAACTGATAATAAATTTATGCCTTCTGCATGGCATTTCATCAAATGTATTTCCACGTTTGTACATGTGTAGATGTTAAAGCACTGGAACATTTATTAGTATCCAGAATGCATCGTCTCCCCTGCCATTCTGCTGCCATTCTCTTCATAGATGGCATTTCCCTGTTCAATGTTCACTGTCTATCATTGCAGTGTGCTCTTTGCTGTAATAGAGTCAAAGGTTATTGAGATTTATGGTTGAATTTTACAAGTTCTTCGTTTTTAAAAGCTCATTGCATTCTTCAGAGATATAATTATATATTGTACTTCTTATAAAATAAAAATGTATCATGGTTAATACTGACTATTTTATGGGTATTAGTTCAAATGCTTTGAATTGATATTTTTAGTTCCTGAAATATATTTCACCAACATATGTTGTTCTAGGATAACATTTGCAGTGCTTGAAAAATATTCCTTTCTACGCCATAATCCCCATTAAACTGCTGACCACTCCTGGCTTCAAGGTTATCTGATACTATTAATGTTCCTCTTCTTTAAGATATTTTACCCTTTTCAAAACTGTGGTCATCACACAGCTCGTCAAAAAACAAATTCTTGAGCATTTTATCCTTGCTAACTATTGCCCCTTTTTCAAGCTCCCTTTCCTGTTCAAATTCTTTGCATATGCTAATACCTCCCAAATATTTGCACATTTTTTCATGAACTACTCATTTGAATCCATCAAGTCAGTTTTCCTCCCACCACAGTTGAAATTTTCTTCACCAAAGTCACAACTTAAGTCATTTGTGGCTGTGACCATGGTAAATAATCCCTCCTCATCCTCCATCTACGTACACCTTTTGATATAGTTTGTTACACTATCTTTTTTCTCAAGGGCTGTTCCATTCTAACTACTTCATTGTAGCTTCTGTAGCATTACCTCTGGTGCCCCTCAATGATCTGTCATTGGCTTCCTCATAATTCTCATCTTCATGTTGTCTCTTGGTGAAATGATTCAAAAAGACAGCATCAATTTCCTTATGTGCACTGACAACATCAAAATCCTCCTCTTCACTGCAACTTTTAACAACTCCACTGTCTCCAAATTATTAGACTGCTTATCCAACATCCAGAACTGCATGAACAGAAATATCCTTCAACTAACTGTAGCGAAGACTGAATCCTTTAGCTTCAAAGCCAAATGTAACCTCATTCCAAAGCCACCAACTCCATTCTTCTCCCTGCTAATTGTCTGAGGCTGAACCACACAGCTCATGCTTAATGTTATATTTTGCCATGAGCTGATTGCTGAAACTGCCTATTTCCACCTCTGTAACAAAAGACTAACTGCCCCCTCTGGTCTCTCTCCCTTCCCCCACCCTCATCCTCTCATTAACTCATATTCTGCAAAAATCCTGATCCATGCCTTATTATTTCCTTAAGACATGGGTGAGATTTGACTATATCCATACACTGCTGGCTAACCTCCCACATTCTACCCTCCAAAGTCATTTTTGCACGTAATCGCTCTGCTCGCTGATCTAACTTGGTTCACTATTAAGCAATGCCTCAATTTAAAACCCTCATCTTGTTCTCAAATCCCATCGTGGCATATATTTCCCTATCTCGGTAATCTTCTTCAACTCTAAACACCTCTGAGAAATCTGCCATCTCCATTTCTGACTGCTCATACATCTCCAATTTTAACCATTCCACCCATGTTTTTAACTGCCTCACCTTGAAGCTCCAGCATTTCTTCCTTAGACCACTTTACCTTTGATTCCTCAGTTAAGATGCTACATAAAATCTACTTCTTTGTCCAAGCCCTAAAATTTCCGTATGTCAGTGTGTCATTCTCTTTCCGTAACCTGCCTTGGAAGGACCTGCAGATAATTTAGGTGTATGATGCTATATATTGATTCTTGTTGTCGTGAGTGAATTGTCGCTGAAAGAATGTGCATTTCAACCAAATTGTTACGTTTATAACCATTCGAGTCAACATGTAGTTTATCCATAAATGATGTATCTGCAGAGATTCCATCTTTTCGATCAATGATTTTCCTTCAGTTCCTATCATTCAATGAAGTGTAGCAGTTACCTGTGCACTGTAAGGTAATGTCTTTATACTTTTTGTGCTATTACAATGGAAGTCAAACCTGATTTTCATGGTAATTCTGGAGCTCCAATGTTAGATATTGCACTTTTGATATTTGAGGCTAATGCTGAATTGTAGAGATACCTAAGATGTCTAAACTACAACTTAATTGCTTTGGCGAATTGGTCAAAGAAACCAAAGCAACTGAATTTTATTTGTGCCTTTTAGTTGGTTTTGTATGATCAAAATTTCTGGGCCTGAACTTTGGAAAGGTCACTTCCTATTTCTATAGCATCATCCTTGATAACTCTTAAGCCTCACCACTAAGATCTCTTCACATTTGCCGCTTGAATTATCTGAAAATTATGAATAACTAATGTAGCTACCTTTTGTCTACTGTCATAATTCTGTCATAATGGCTAAAGCCTTGGACAAATCTAGTCAGAATTTCAATGCAATAATAGCAAAATAATAGCAATTTGCAAAATTATTCACAGCTGCAGCTGTAAATTTGGATGTGTGAAGGGAGATCACCTTGCAGTGGGACAGGAAGATTGAGCTTTTAAAAAAATGTAAAGGAATGCAGACAATTAAAGGGAAGAAAAGAACAAGAAGATAAAAGGCATTTTAGCTTTTAGAAACACTTCAAGAAAATCTCAACAGATTGGCAGATTTTGCTCACGTTAGCAAGAATGAAAACTAAAAAATAACTGGCAAAAGTGAAAAAAGAAAATCAAAGGTATGAGCATGTGCGTATGTGAATGAGGCAGCCCAGCTCCCACTGTCTGATGATGGTTGGTGAATGGGTAGCTATGTGAAGTGTTTCCAGGAGTTGATGGTCTGTTTGACACTCAGTCAACATTGCAGACTACCTGCAAAGAAATGTTCGGCAGGTTTAAGGTTAAATTTGGTGGTTGTGCTGACTTTGTTGTATGTTAACCTTTGGTGTCCTTGAAGCAAACGGCTCATCTCTGCATCTGGTTCCTTGCTGACCAAGAACCTATGAAAATTTGTTCACACGTTGTCTTGGGATAAGTTGAATTTTCTTACAAACACTAATTACTTTAGTCAAAAATGTTCAGCTTTTTATTTACAAGTTTTATGAAAAAAGTATATTTTTGGGAAAACAAAATTGGTCATTATCATGATAGTGTGTCAGGGGACTGGCAGATCTGGTTGGTTACAGATTAGCAGATACAGCTTATCAAGCTGTAGATATGTTAAATCGACCCATTCAGACATGTTACAACAAATGTCTGGGGCAGATGAGACCTGAACCTTGACATTCTAGCCCAGAGGACTAGCAATGCTACCATTGCACCACAAGAAACCTCTTATCAAGCTATAGATACTTTCCAAATCATTCTGTTCAGAGATGGTTTTACTCCTACTTCTGGAACAGGTGGGGTTTGAATCCAACCTCCTGGCTCAGAGATAAGACACTGTCACTATATTATAAAAGACCTCTCCTCAAGCTATATCCTTATTGATCACTTTGGCATGTGATATTTTGTGCAATAGCCACATGGCATACTACAATACGGGTGACAATGAAGTATACTCCTATGCTACACTTAGTCAAACCTTAAGCATCATTCATATAACATCTGTCTGTTACCACAAACTGCTTATGGTTGTCAACCCCTCCTCATTAATCCACTGCACTTCTGTAAAAAAGGTTCTGAGGATACTGGCAAATGGACAACAGGTAGATATGTGGGATTGTCACTGATGAACATATAGGGCAACATGGTAGCTCAGTGATTATCACTGCTGCCTCAGCGCCAGGGACCTGGGTTTGATTCCACCCTTGGGCGACAATCTGTGTGGAGTTTGCACATTCTCACTATGGTGAGGTTTCCTCCGGGTGCTCTGGTTTCCTCCCACAGTTCAAAGGTTACGTGAATTGGCCATGCTAAATTGCTCATAATTTCTGGGGATGTGTAGATGAAGTGGATTAGCCATAGGAAATGCAGGGTTACAGACATAGGATGGGAGGGTGGGTCTGGGTGGAATACTGTTCAGAGGGTCAGTGTGGACTCAAAGGGCCGAATGGCCTGCTTTCACACTGTAGGGATTCTATTATTCTAAGTAATGTAAACATAAAGGTAAATGATCACAGGTTAGTTTTTAGGCTTGTCCCTGATAACGTAGTTGGCATTAAAAATGTTGAAATTGAATCTTCTCACCTAGCCCTTTGAAGATAGTGCTATGTGTTCCTCAATGTTAAACACATCTGAACATTCGTTAAATATCAGTGTGAAATACACTGCATATATTGGACACTGAAGCACTGGAAGGTTGGGTGTACAAACTTGAGTGCAGCTGAATATTAGATGCGTTGCATTACAGGCAGCTTGAGCAAAACAGCCTCTTTTGTGCAACTATGCAACTTAATATCTGCATGATCTTCAATTTTCTGATTGAATGTGCTATGCATGGATGATGACAAAGATAAAATCAGCTTTTCACAAAAAGTTGACAGGGATTCGATCCATGAAGGCACCTCATGTTACCCTAATAAAACACAGACCATTCTTCATGAATTAAACAATTGTCAAAAATAACTTGTGCCTTTTAGAGAATACTCAACACAAAAAATTCATGATTTAATTTCAGGATTAATGAAGCAAACGCCGCTTCATACTCACCTCTGGTCACTTTTAAAATATAATTCCTTTTCCCAATAATTGGATTTCAAGCTTGAAGTTTGCTTTTCTAAGTCTTGATTTTATGTTTTAAGTTTCAAATTTGTTCTATTGCTTAGTGATATCAGATGTCAAACATGAAAATCTATGTCAAGCTGATTTGCGATGAGTCATCCCTGCATCTCATTCCTTAATTTCAATAATAATTTAAGTCAAAACTTCAAAATGCATTCCACAGGTGTCAATAGGTAATATCTCAATACCCTTCACCTTACATCATGGCATTGAATTCTGTTCTGTTTTCAGTCTGGGCTGTTAATTTAAACCCCACTATTTGCAGATTGCATTTAATTGATACCAAGCTGCTCAAACGTGAATACTTCTTGTTGACCTATTACCTTTGCATCTTTCAAGCACAAATGACTGCATTGGTAGCAACGTCATTTGACATTGCTCTTGACATTGCAAACAAACCTATTCGCCAAGCCCCAGTTTTCTCAAGGCCTTAAGTCTATAATTTCTGAAGTACCATTAACTAACTAACAAATCACCATGGTATCGGGATGCATACCATTCACTTGTATGATTATCCTTCATCTTAGTGGTACATAAAAGGCCAATAGTATAGAGCCTGTTATCACAAAGTGTGTGAAAGACTATATGGACAAGCATCCTGGATCTGCCTTTGACCCAAGAACTGATACCTGATCCTCAGGTCATGAAACAATGTGGTCACTTAGGAAAGCTATGAGTGAAGTAGATTAGTGCGTAATGCATCCAAACTATTAATGGAAGCAAAACCAGAGGGCCACTGGAATGTGTCCAGCCCTTAAGCATATAGGTGTAAATCAGCTGCAGGGTCCAAATATCAAACAAGAACAGTACACAGCTTAATTTCCGTTTTGTGCTGTTTATTTTGTGCTGCCAACTATCTGACCTTTGGAAACCCACAAAATCCGTGCTGATATTCTGTTTGTCCAAGAAGGTGTGGAGATGCACACACTAAGGAAGCATGCTCCTTGTTGTAAATTCAGACAGATTAGGCATAGCTTGGCAAGAGGTAAGTCACAACAATCCCAGTGTGTACAGGGAGATGACTAGAGTTTAACCAACTAAAGCCATGCAGCCTATTAAAATAGAACTTCTTATTTGCCGAGCTAGAACCATCCTAGCTGACAGGGAATTTGCTTTCAAACTTGTATGGAATGGGAACAATTCTGTCTCACATTCAAGAGACAAGGTTCCATTAATGACCCAAGGTAGCCAGTAAAATATCACTAATGATCTAGATTGCTGCAAACCTACATTGCTCAGGTATCAGGTGATTGAATCTGATGCAAAGGGTTGACTAAGTTTGGAATGTCCAGCAGCAGGCACATCCTTTGGAAGGTGCTTTGACTTAACAAAACTACATTGCCTATCTTTTCCTCACACTAAACCCACTCCACACTTTCCCTTTTTTAGAAGATATCAGAAATTATTAGCTATGTGTGCTTTATGGGCAGCAGAGACTGGATGGCCTTTATCTACTCTGACCAATCTTCCTTTTTGTTACTTCAATTATGATGCTACACAGATATTTTTATTGGTTTTCATTTTGTCTTCACAAAGAGTTTTCTGTATTAGTAGAGGACAAAAATGGGCTCTCTTTTGTTCTTTTGTAGTGTTGGGAAAATGGAATTATCCTTTGCCGGGAGTTGGCAGACCAATATGAGAGCTTCTATGATTACCGCAATCTGAGCAAGATGAGGGTAATATATCATTTAACAATTACCCTTGAAAAATAATAAAACATAGCAAGTATACCATACGACATCTGGTAACAGCGGGGACTTGGTGTGCTACAACTGATATACCATTCATGCAGTTCTATTTGTGCATTCATTATTCAGATGATGGAGGCTTCTTTCTACGATAAAATAATGGATCAGCAGCGTTTGGAGCCCGAGTTTTTCAGGGTTGGATTTTATGGGAAAAAATTTCCGTTCTTCTTAAGAGTGAGTACATGATATAAAATGTATGTGATTTAAAATTAGAAATTCATTTGCCAAAAATACAATGTAAATGTGTAAAGGTAGTAATTAAACTTTAGTGAATGGTTCATTTGTTAAAGATTTTGTTAGCAAATGATGAGTCTTGACAGTATAATAATTGCACAGAAAGAAGAGCATTTGTCTGAGTAAGAAGTATTGCTTTAATGTGATATGTGGGCTGATCAGCGCTGAGCATGGTATGTAACAGAATCAGGAGGGGAAAAAAGAGATTCAAAGCTAGATTCTCAAACACCAAGAACCAGCTTTTTAATTATGGAGTACAAAATATAAATCTTAAACCAATGTGTCATGAGACATAATTTTCCCCACATGATCTTGAATCACAATTTTGTATTCAAAGTGATTGTGGGTTATACAGATTTGTAAAAGTGATATTCTTCACTCCAATTGAAATATTTTACATGCACATTAAGGATTGAAATAACTGTGATTCACATTCAACTTTTTTTTAACAAATTAAGGTAAATTTTGAGTGTCATTACTTGTCATATTTGGGGTGGGAAACGTATCAAAATAGGATTGGTGGAGTTACCGTCACATCAACACCAGCAATGCAATCAGTGCATTTTTAAAGGTGCATATTACCATGCGTTCTTAATATTTGCCATTTTAGTTTAAGTCAGAAATCACACGACACCAGGTTATAATCCAATAGGTTTATGGCTTCGAAAGCTTGTGTTTTTAAATAGACCTGTTAGACTATATCCTGTTGTCGTGTGATTTCTGACCTTGTCCACCCCAGTCCACCACTGGCACCTCCACACCATTTTAATTGGGCACTGATGGAGCTGAAGTACAGGTGAGGGAGGAGAAGTGGCTTAGTCAATTGTTGCATTGGCGCACACTCCTCCCAACAGAGGAACAGGAATCTTCCTCTGGGTTCGACAAAAATAATCTGGGTGCTTGCTATCACATTGAACATTCTCTTTAAAATACAGTCACTTTCTGTGGCCAGATTTTTGTTTGGCATGTGTTCCTTTATATATCTTTTGCATGGTCTCACATGCATATTAACACAAAACAAAACCGGCAGGGAACTTTCCAGGTTTTGCACGTTCACAGCTTAGTGAAAACGTTGATCCACTCCCCATCTGCACCCACCTCAAACATACAATTTACCTTGCTAGTGGTAGTTCAAGTGCAATTCCTGTGAAGCCAGATCCACAAAATAATGCCTTGGAAGAATATTTCTTTGAAAGAATGAAGTGCTGCCTTATTGCTCTACCAGATGATTGGCAAAAGATCAAAATCAATTCTGTTGTTTGCACAAAGAAAGAATCACTTTCATAACACACAACACTGTGAGGGACACATCTTTCAAACTGTAACTGAGTTCTGAGTACAGCAGACTGAAACTACAACAAAGAGTCTAGATATGGTTTTGCATCTCCTTTCTACAAGTGATGAATCCTGGAGATGAGTTTTCCACTGTTGGAGGTAAAATAACAATTGAAGACCAAAACACATCAGCCACCAGCAGTTCAGAACATGGAAAAGTGCCTGAGAGCAAGGTCAGCCAATTGGCTTCCTGTCTGTGGATACATCTGCTATGATCTGACCCAAAAAAGGGTGAAAGCGAAGCATTTTCTGCACTATGCTGAAAACAATCCAGAATAAGTGGATTGTGTGTCCTTCTAAGTTATCAAGTCAACCTGACAGCTGCAAGGAGATCAGCATTGAATATTGACCTTGCAGCAGGCTATCTTTTAACTGAGGAAATGATGCATCAGACAGGAGGATGAGAATCTAAAAGGAAAACTGGCAATTAGTATTTACTTAGTCTAATTAAAATGGTTTGTGTCTTTTTCTAAGTTAAGGAGGAGGAAGACAATGAATTGATTTTTTTTATATAATCGATGATTGGTCATGATTCCGTTATGATTTTGTTAGTTTTCAAACCAGAAGTCTTAACCAGTGGATTTTTATGTTTTGAAAATGTCAGAAACTATTAATAAACAATGCAATTAATGTAATGAAATCTACTTTGATATTTCTATTTCACTCATATACATATAGATATATACATAAGAATGTTTGTATTGTCCCTCACAATCATTGCATTTATCAGATTTTTTTATTACATTCCCATCATCTTTAAACCTAAGAACCTAATTGTGTATGAGGTTGTGGGTGGATTATTAAAGCCCACACTCAATATAATTAATTCAGAGCACACTTGCCTTGACCCCTTTTGCCAGTCTCAATATTACCATGTTATAAATCAATGTTTTTGAGAGATTATTTCACAAATCTTGTATTCTGAATTTATGTTTTTTACTGCATGTCACATAGTCAGAGCACCGTGGAGTTATGCTACTTCAGGACTTGTCACTCAAAAGCAAAGACCATATATGTTTACCTTTTTGTAAGGGGCTTCCTATGTTCTCACTTCAGTGTGTTTTTGAGGATTAGAGAAGATAGGTGGGTGACCTGTTCCCAGAGCCCTTTGCCAATACTGCTCTAAAACTGGCAACACACGTGAAGAGAGGTTCAGTGTGACTGCTTTTCCATTTTCCTCTTCTCCGTTATAGGCAGCAACTACTTCTGATTGTTGTTTAACTGTAGATCAGAATCGTAGCTTTTAGAAGAACAACTCAAAATTATTATACACAAGATTGAAAATCCTCATTCGATTCAGGCCTTCTGACCATAGTCTTCATTTTATTCTCTCCCCAAATGCCTCTGCAATCCATTTTCTATGACTTGCTTCCACTAATTTCATGGTTTCTTTGTTTCTTAGTTTGCAACATTTATTCCTGACACATTTCAGACTAGTCTCCCTGTTATTTGTTTTCCAGATTAACTTTGTGGATCCATTTGTTATTCTGTTTGTGATCCTAATGCAGTTATCATCACACTGCACATGCCTAGATATCACTTACTTTCTATACGTGTTGTACTCTTTCACATGTGTAGAAAACAGTGAAGCTTGAAGCACATCGTATTGGCTGCACTCAGGTCCCTGGCCAGTTATTGGCAGGTGGGTTTCAACATACATTCAAAATGTATCTACTGCAGCGATAAACAGTATAAGTTTTAGACTCCTAGGCTTCATTAAAATCATATTGGTTGGTTTCCCACTTGACTTGCTGACCCGTTAGCTAATTGGAGTGCAATTCGTGTATGATGACTTCAACGTGGTTGTGCACTTCAAGCAAAGTGACGATCCCCTGTTGAAGCGATGGAAGAAGAAACTACTGCAAGTTGTATTGCACCTGGAAGTTGTACGAATGAGGAGGGATATTTTCTCTGCATCCTATACCAAGAAAGATCCAAAAACCCCAACTTCAGAAGGCGTCATGAGCGACTTTTAAGGAGGTCAGTTCCAGGATAATCGCTGCCAACATCGGAAATTGCTGCAGGAAGCTCTTCAATTAACTTAAGAGGCAAGGGTGGTTCCTCAGTTTTCCAGTCAATGTATAACAAGAATGTGAGTAGACCACCATCCCTTATGGTGCTGTTGGAATTGGAATAGCAAGTACAAATGATCACTGTCCATGTATACACCTCAGAGGAGTAGATTCTTTCTGCGGATATACAGTCACATATTCCATCACTCCCAAGTACTAACACAGATATATTCACCGTGGCTGGGTCAGGGTATGAGGCAGAGGATTCAATACAGAGTGAGCATTCAGCGCTTTTGAGCAGTCACAAGAATTTTTCATCAGAACATGCGGTCCTTTCACAGCTCTGTTAAAGAGGACAGATTTGAACGTCAGGGACATACAAACAAGAAACAAGAATAGGCCACCTAGCCCTTTGAATTTGCTCTGCCATTCAATAAGATCATGGCTAATCTGATTTTAATCTCAACTATACTTTCCTGTGTATACCGGAAATCTTACATCTTCTTGATAATCAAGAATCTATCTACCTCTGCCTTAAAAACAAAATCAATGATTCTGCATCCGCCACTTTGAGGAAGGGAATTCCAAAGACACTCAACCCTCTGGGAGAAAAGATGTTTCCTCACCCGTCTTCAATGGGAGAACCCTTATTTTTAAACGATGACACCTATATTTAGATTCTCCCAAAAGAATCCCAAGCTTCCTCCTTGAATTCCCTAGAGGAATCATCCTTTGGACATCCAGCCAGTCCAGTCAGCTCAGGATCTTTGCTGTTTGAAATAAGTCACCTTTGGCTCTTCTAAACTTTAAAGGGTACAGGCCTAGCTTTCATCATAAGGCAATCTGCTCATTCCAGATATTTGTCTAGTAAACGTTGACTGAACTGCTTCCGACGCATTAACATCTTTCCATGTGTATGATGACCAGGGTCTCACCAATGTCCTGTACAGCTGAAGTATAAACTCCCCACTCTTCGAGGACTCCAAAAATTAGAAGAAAATAAACTCATTTTGCTCATGTAATTATTATCAGGGCTGCACAAAATAAGTTCAGAGAAGTTTACTTCCAGCCCGTGCATTGTTACCTGTCAGATCATTATTAATTTAAAGTCTACCCTTGGAGAATATGGCTACACCTAGGGACAGTGCAACTGGACCCTCATGACAACTGAAGATGCTGCTACTGCTGTGCAGACTCTAAGCTCAGACCTGTGCTCTGCCTTGGAACCATACATAATCAGAACATAGGCCACAAGCATTTCTGCAGTTTGTAGTCCCACAGTATAGTGAAATGCTGAACCTCAACCCCACAAGATGAATGATGAGCTGCCTATCAGCAGGATGCCATCTCATGTGCTTTGATGCTGTCCACTTCACCTCCCCCAACTCCTGCACACACTTTCAATCATCTTCTGTTCTGTTTCGTGGCACCTTAATTTGAGTTTGTTTTTGTTCTACTCAGTTCTCAATACTGCTTCTAAAGGCTAACTTTTTAAAGCACAGATAGGACATGCAGCATTAATGCGGGTGCTACAGGCCATATGTTTCTTGCAGCACTCAACTATTCTCACTAGCCTGGAAAAACAGCAATAGCTTTCTGAAGAAGGGTCCAGACCCGAAACATCAGCTTTCCTGCTCCTCCAATGCTGCTTGGCCTGCTGTGTTCATCCAGCTCTATACCTTGTTATATCAGTAGCTTTTGCTGCTTCAGTAAAATTGACTGCTCAAAGTAAGCCCTGAATGAAGGCCAATGACATGAAGTTACAGTGAACTTCAACTTGCTATTATTTGATTGAGCTGCAAGTACAACCATCATTGGTACAGCAGAAGACTGGCTGACATGCAAAGATTTTCCACTTTTTCCTCCTGGCCATTGCAGATTTTTTTTTGTGAGCTCTCTGTTCAGTAGTTCCGTGACTGTAAATGCAATTGTCACAGTCACACAGTAAAATTTTTCCCCACCTCCCCACACATCTTCCTTTTGTAAGTTCCTGTAGCATTTAACGCAACACAGCCTTCTCCACCTGTCACTGATCAGGTCACTGATAAAACACATATTTTCCTTAGATTGTGTTGTACTGTGTTCACTGTCTGTCTGATAATTGCTTCCTCATCTTTCATCTCTAACAGAACAAGGAGTTTGTCTGTCGAGGACATGATTATGAGCGATTGGAGGCCTTCCAACAGCGAATGTTGAATGAGTTCCCACATGCAATTGCTATGCAGCATGCCAACCAGCCTGAGGAGACCATTTTTCAGGCTGATGCACAGTGTATCCTAAGAAACCCGTGCAATAGGTCAGAAGTGAACCTGAAGGAGTACTGTGCAGATGAGTTGTCTTAAATTAATTTAAATATTACATTTGTTATCGGACATTATAGTAAAGCCTAGATAGACAAAGTAATTTAAAAATGAAGCTATATAGCTTATTATAAGAATTATTTTTTTTCTGTAGAAATAGTGTTTATTTGTGCTTCAATTATAGGGGATGTTGCTGACCTTGAGTAATGAAACTCTAACTGTTGCACTTCAAATGGCAAGACACGATTGCAAATCAGGTATAACTTAATGATTTTGATTGCACATGTCTGTTATCTCAGCCACTCATAGCAACAAAAATAATCAAGAAAGGTATTATTCATTAAACTCCTCCAACCTACCTCCGTTATGTAGTCAATTTTAAACTGGATTTTGTTTTCTCAAGAAAAAATATGTCTCAAGGTCAAGATGTAATTGATAAACCCTTTGAACTTTGCTCAAGAAATTTCTGGAAACACCTTGTTATCTTACTGCCTTGTGACATACAACATCAAAGGTGATATTCCCTGCATATTAGTATTAATTTCTTCCTCATTCTCACTGTCCTCACAATCCCACTATCTACATACAGCGCACCTCCACCTCCATTAACTGAAATAAAAGAGGATAAGATAATCTGATTCCTAAGATATTGACTATTTTGCTTTTTCATTCACTACTAGCAGGTCTATATTTGAATCTACAAACAATATGAAATGGCCCAAAGGACAGTTGCTGATCTAAGAGACTTGAGAAATATCCAAATTTCTTATATTCCCCGTGTCTCTTCATTGAAAACCCAGAACTATTGCACACAGTTAACTCAATGTCCAGTACATTAAAATTTTCACCTGGAATTTTTTTATAAGTTCCAGAATGTGAAATAAGTTTCTTATAACAAACCGTAATTTCTCGGCTTCCCATCTCCCCAGTGATTTTTGCACAGCTGGCATGATCCATCTTACAGACATCTCCAGTGATGGCATTGATTATGTTGTTAGACCGACAGCGGATGTTTTGAGTTATTAGAAAATGTCCTTACTCTGCACAATTTGCTCTCTGGAGGCACATTCTATCAAAAGAAACAGTTACTCTATTAGTGGATTGTCACATTGTCCAATAACTACTTGAAAAAAAATCCACATTCTTAAACTTAACAGCAATTTAAGAGCATGATTCTGTCAATTATTAAACTACAGTACAGCCAACTTGCTGAAATTGAACTGGAACATGTTAAAACACAAGTTGCATCTCATGTTTCAATAAGATCAAAGTTTCTGTTCAAGTGTAGTATTTGACATATTATATCACAGTAGAAAAGCCTTTAACTACGATAGTAATAAACACATTACCAACAAAAACTTTTGTGATAGAAAAAGTATCTGAAATGCTTGAACTGGACAGTTTTTGACAATCAATTTAGGGAAGGATATGATCTATAATTGATCAGAGAATCTATAATTGATTTAGAGGATTTACAATTGATCAGAGCATATATAAAACTGCAATTCATCTATACTTTTACCAGATTGCTATAATGTTTTATAACTGTGAAGAGTTACAAAATGAACCTTTGTTTTGCACATTGTAGTTCATTAGTTGACTGTGGCTAAAATGGTGTTTATATAATGGTAATCACATGCTGGGATTTATGCTATTTTCTGAAAGGTAGCAAGTAATGATGTGGCAAAATATAGATTAGATCTGTTCTTACTGGCATAGCATTAAATGGTGTAATGATTAAAGATAGAACCCAATCCTACCAGTAAAAATAACATTAAACAGATGGCAAGTACTTCCTGTTAGAACATGTATATTGAAATGAAATCTCTAGCAGCTAAGATTATTAGTGATTTTTTTTTATTTGTGATCCTATCTCTTGAAGCCCCCCTTCTGTGAAACATGATGTACCTAAGAAATCGTTAACGCACAGAATGGCTTTTTTTTACAAGTCATAGAGCATGGCTGTAATTTACTTTTCTTTCTTACAGTAAATGATGGCACCAGGAAAACAACAATACAATTTTTTTTAGCACATACATATTTTCTGTTGTCTCATTTTTCAGATTTTTATATGATCTAACCCAAAAATAGGATTTTCAATGCACGAATGCACCCTACTCAAAGTAGAAAAAGTGCTTTTGTGATGACAGTTTTGTTTTCACTAATCATGACACTGTGGTATACTCTGTAATGATTTATCACTTAGTAACTTATTATGTCAGACCAGTGCTTTGCTGCTATTAATATGAAGAATATATCATAGAGTCACAGAGTCATACAGCAGGGAAACAGACCCTTCGATCCAACCCATCCATGCCGACCAGACATCCCAATCTGACCTAGTCCCATTTGCCCGCATTTGGCCCATATCCCTTGAAACACTTTCTATTCATAGACCCATCCAGGTGCTTTTTAAATGTAATTGTACCAGCCTCCTCAATTCCTCTGGCAGCTCATATCAGACATGCACCATCGTCTGCGTGAAAAAGTTATCCCTCAGGTCCTTTTTAGATCTTTCCCCTCTCACCTTAAACCTAAGACCTCTGGTTTTGGACTCCCCACTCTAGGATAAGGACCTTGGCTATTCACCCTGTCCGTGCCCCTCATGATTTTATAAACCTCAATAAAGTCAATTAGTGAAGGCATATGCAATATCCTTCATACCACTGCAGTATTTTCCTTCTAATTTCACCCTGTTTTTATTTGATAGCCATAAGCAATGTTTCATTTTGTTTTGTCTGTAAAGAAAGCAGCTGAATCTGTTTTTGGGCTAAAGGGATAAAAGGGTATGGAGTGAATGCAGGAACAGGGTCCTGAGTTGGAGAATCAGCCATGATCATATTGAATGGTGGCATGGGCTTGAAGGGCCAAATGGCCTACTCCTATTTTCTATATTTCTGTGAAGGAAATATGTTGCAAGCTTCTAAGTACTTGCACCAGAGACCAAAAAAACATAATGCTTCCAAAATGACTGCTATTTTCTTCAAGAATTAATAGCTAAATGGATGTTAGGACTGTTTGTTTGAATGCTTTAAATCTCATTAAAATACAAGACATGAATAAGGATATTCAACACATCCATTAAGAAAACTTTCCACTAAGAATGTCAGGTCAATGTTGCAAAACTGGCTTAACAAGGATGCAAAAGCAACGTATAATTATATCTTATTTAGGAAATAGAGGAGTAGTCTCTTGACACTGAAGTTCACATGGTTGACGTGTTTAGCTCAACCATCTATCATTACGTTCTCAGCTTCTGCATTGATTATGTTAGCAGCACAGACTAAGATCCATATTCCACCAACATATATTCTGCTGTACTGTGGACCTGATCAATAATGTAGTAGCGACTAAATGATGTTTTCTGTAATGAAAATAAATTGGCCAGAACATTGGTGATAACTCCCCTAACTCTTATTTGCAATAGTGCCTGCAATCATTTACATTCACCTGACCAAGCATACTGGACTGTGGTTTAACATCTCATCTGAAAGCTGACACCTCAGACAGTGAAGTACTCAACCAGTGGTGTCAGCCTTGGCTTTTATACACCAAAGCCCCAGAGTAGGAGTTGAATGCAGGACCTTGTGATTCAGGGTTAAGAGTATTACCATCTGAGCTGCAGCTTAATTGGATATTATATGCAAATAATTGTGCAGGATCATAAAGTGGTATTGTTTGTTTGCTCCCTTTTGAAGAAAATAGGTCGCTGTCATACATGTCGGAACAGGAAAAACAATGTTTCGGGCCAAAACCCTTCGTCAGGGTTTCAGCCCGAAACATTGATTTTCCTCCTCCTTGGATGCTGCCTGACCTGCTGTGCTTTTCCAGCTCCATGTTTATTGACTCTAGCTTCCAGCATCTGCAATCCCTACTGTCTCTAAGCTGTAATACCTAGTTAGATGAGTCCAGACAAGTTTCCCAAAGTTTCATGAGTTCCTCAGACAAGATCAAGCACAATTTTACCTTTAAGATGAACAAGGATGCATGAAATCTGTCAGTTTAAAAAAAAGCCATGTGTATTTATAGCTTGCTTTAAAAAACAGGGTGGCACAGTGGCTCAGTGGTTAGCACTGCTGCCTCACAGTGCTGGGGACCTGGGCTTGATTCCAGCCTCAGACAACTGTCTAACATTCTCTTAGCTTTCTTTATTACTTTCAGAACCTGCAAGTTAACTTTTGCAATTCATGCACAACATACCCAGATACCTCTGCATCTCTAATCTCTTGCCATTTAGGTAACATGTTTCCACCCATAAAATGTCTGCAAACTCCACTTCAATGAAGTGTTTACTTACTGAACCTAATCTTCCTGAAAACAAAAAAAAATGCTGGAAATTACAGCGGGTCAGGCAACATCCGTGGACAGTAAACAAGCTAACGTTGTTGTGTCTAGATGACTCTTCATCAGAGCTTATGTACAGATTCCAGCATCTGTAGTAATTTGCTCAAAGATAACCTTCCTTTTGGCTTTGCATCAATTTTTCTTGTCCTCCCAGGTGTTGTTTCAGATTGGTTTACATTCTATAAAAGTTATAATAGTCATACATCACAACACCTCAGGCATATCCTCAGATAGGTCCATGAACTATGAATTTGTATAGCTCATTCAGCTCCTTTTTTAGTTTTTGAATTTTCCAATTTTTAAAAAAAGCTTTTGTATTAAAAAAGATAAAAAGTAGTTTAATATAAAACAAAGAATTCCAGATGCTGAAGATATGAAACAAAACAGAAATTGCTGGAGGAACTCAGCATCTGTGAAGAGAAAGCAGAGTTAACATTTCAGTCCAGTCAACCTTCTTTAAAGTTTGTGTTTAGAGTCACAGGGATGTACAGCACAGAAACAGATCCTTTGATCAGACTAGATATCCTAAATAAATCTAGTCCCATTTGCCAGCATTTGGTTCATATCCCTCTTAAACCCTTCCTATTCATATACCTACCAGATGCCTTTTACACTTTAAAAAAGTCACTTAGCTGCTCCCCTGCTGTGAGCTCTTCCACACAGTTTTCTCCAAGGTCAGCTATGAATTTCGCTGTTCGTTAAGTTTTCTTAGATGTCTCTGATATCCAGAGATACTTGAAATCAAAAGGCAGAACAGTCAGCCGTGCAGATTCACTGCTGGGTCAGACAGCAATGCAGGTTAATTTCTCCATTTGATTCATTTCCCATGTGGTCACTGCCTTTGTCTGTCTTCCTTCCTTTTTAAGTGCTGTTGTTTTGATCTTTTTTTTTCCTGAAGTTCCAAAACAATACAACAGCTTATAAAACAGTAATTACTGCTGTAGAATTTGAGGAAATCAGCTCCAACACTAAAAACACTCCAAAAAAGGAACAGCTCTTATAGCTACAATTTTTCCTGTCCTCCATCATGGATTACTTCTTTCTCCAACAATTTCTGTTTTAGTTAAAGAAGTTATTTTGTTGCATAATTATTGATGAAAATTGCATTTAAAATGTCATGCAGTTCTTAGCTAAACATGGATACAAAGATTTAAAGTAGGCACTAATAAAACTTTGTTTTATTGTTGCAAACCTAGCTTGCTTGAAGATGCCTTTGCCTAAGGTTTTATGCTTTCATTTATTTCTTCCAAAATGGACAATCTTACGTTTTCTCTCATTGCACTCCATTTGTTAAATATTTACCCACTCACACAACTTATCTATATTATTCCGCAGCATCCTTTTGGGGTCTTCAAAATTGCTTTTATACATCTTTGTGTTGTCAGTAAGTATAGATAATTCCTGCAGTCTTTTCATCCAAGTCACCTATATAAATTGTAAAATGTTGAAGCCACAGTACTGATCACTGTGGCACATCACTCATTGCATTATGCCAACCAAAATGACTTATTTTTGCCTACTCGTTCCTGCTGGCCAGTCAATCTTTTATCTGTTCCAATATGCTACCCTGATAAACTTTATCTTCCACAATAATCTTTGATGTAGCACCTTATCAACACTTTCTGGAAACTTAAGTAGAATACATCGATTGGTTCCCCTTTATCTATAGCACATGTTACTTTCTCAAATAACTCTAATAAATTGGTTAAACATGATTTCCTTTTCACAAAACCATGTTAATGCTGACTGATTATCTTTAATCTCACCAAGTGGCATGCCATATGTCTTTGATCATAGCTTCTAACATTTTCTTTATGACAGATGTTAAGTGAACTGGCCTATAGTTTGCTACTTTCTACTTCCATCTCCCCACCTTTTTGAATAAAAAAGTTACATTCATTATTTTCCTATCTAATAGAATCTTCTCTGAAACAAGAGAATTTTGGAAAACACTCTGTATTATTCTCCGAGTTCTGCCAAAATGTTATCTTGGAATCTGTCTCACAAGGATCAAAGTGTAAGATGTTTGTTATCCCAAAATTATTGCGTCATGTATCCCATTTTGGTAAAAAGATCCATCCATTGTCTTTTGGTTGCAGTAATTAACTTTTTTAACTGTCTCAGCCATTAATGGTTTTCATTGTCAAATTGTGATGAGTTAGGAAATACTGTTCCGGGAAATCAATGCCAGGGAGTTATGAAGGGTCTAGGCCCGAAACGTCAGCCTCTCTGCTCCTATGATGCTGCTTGGCCTGCTGTGTTCATCCAGCCCTGCACCTTGTTGCCAGGGAGTTATGTTTGTCCTTGGAGATGTTCATTGAATTTCATAAAAGTGTCTTGTGATTTCTTAATGGAATAAATACAGTCTAGTCCCAATACCAGCTTAAAATCCATAGAGGTGTTCATGTGACCTTTGAGAGCTATTTTGTAGCATTTTGTACCCATTTTGACTAATTTACAGAATATATAATATAATTGGACAGTAATGACAAGTAGTGGGAATTTCACAGCTTCGCAGGTTAAATTGTTTACTGTTTTGATGTTAAGCTATTTTGCAGGCTTTGAAGCTTCATGATATATTGCATATTACTTGTAGCACACAATAGAGAAAACAAAGAGAAATTTGCAATTATATAACATATTTTATGACTTATAGATGTCGCAGTGAAACAGCCAATAAAAGCATTTTCAAATGTAGTCTTTGGAAACAGACAATCTGCAGCCAACAGTTCTAGGCTGTAATGTGACCGGATCAGCTGCCTTAGAGATGTTGACTGGGGGATAAATATTAGCCAAGACATCCAGAGAGCTCCCTTGCTGTTCAGAACACTATGTGGAGATCTTTTATGTCTACCTGAGGGGATGGGAGAAGGGTGATCCTCTGATGAAGAGTCATCTAGACTCGAAACCTTTATCTTGCTGTCTCTTCTTAATGTATTGTGTTATAGACAGCACTTCTGAAGTGCATCACTCCTTCTTTTCTGTACTGAAGTGTCAGCCTCAAAATGATACCATCAAGTATCTATGAAATTTTGACTTGGAGGCAAGCACTACCACTGAGCAAAGAGGAAAATATTAGGATTAAGTAAATTGTTATAGTCAAAAATGAACCAAACTTCAAAAGCATTTAAATAAGAATAATTGCAAGCTATAGTTATGTATTGGCATGTATCAGATTATGCTTCATTTTTACACATAGATCAAGAATTATTACTCTGATAAATGGAAGTTGAGAAATCTGCAAATAGTAACTGACTTATCTGAGACTAATTCTCTCAAATGCAGAAAAGAAATAGGTAGGTTTATTAATTTCAGAAATTGGAAGTGATAAAGTACATGACTGAACCTCCTATTGGATGTGAGGGTTTTTTGGTCATTGAAATTAGATTGAATATTTTATCTTCTTGCACTTGAAAATCAAAGATAAAATTAAAGGCATGACTATCATGAGCAAGGTAGTTTTCATGTGTTTGATGGTGAATTTCTTTACCATTGCTGATTAATTAGACCTGCCTGTGGACTTGAAGGAAAATAAACAAATTGTAGAATTTGCAGGAAGCAAAGTGCTCCAAGCTTGGGACAGATATTTCAAAGCACTGAAACTAAAATCTGTGGCATATATGGGAACTAATATTACGACAGCTCTGAAACGTAATTGACAACAAGCATATAAATGTTCATAAGATAGCAGTTTACTTATGGTTTAAAAATGTCAACCATGCCAATTAAAATTTTATGTACTATAAAATGGATGTGGAGTTGATTCCAATATTAAAAAAAGTTACATATCATTCATTCACTTTTGTTAATCCAAGATCTATGCACAGTTTGAGTGGAACACTCTGTAATTCAGTCTGTGCCAATGCCATCATGCAGTGGGCCAGGGGTTTTGCTCTACCTGTTAATATTTAATCACTTCTGACAGGATTCTTCATCTTTTTGGAGCTTGACAATACTGTTAACATTTTTGACAATTTTGCATAGAGTTAGAATCAGCCCTTGCTGTTTGGTGTATATCCCATCTTCTCTATGGCGATTAATATACAAAATATCTTGTTGAGCTTTAACTCCTTATTAATTAAGTCATCAGGTTTTTAAAGTGCAGTTGATTAACTCTCTTCTCCTTTCAAAGCTTGCTGTAAAATGTTATATCTAATGACCATTGGATCATAATTTTAACTGCAAAATTTTCTCATCCGCATTTCTAACGAAAACACATTTAACCCGTATCTATTGTGTCTTTGAAAAGCTGTATATATCCAGCGTTTCCTGTTCTAACTTCCACTGGCATGTTTGATTTCTGTATTTAAATTATCAAGGATTTGATAGGCATCTTTTTTTTAATAGTACTTCATATCTTGCATTTTAATTAATTATTAGGCATCTGGACATTTTCTTAACTGTTAACATACAGATCTGCAGATTTATGCAGTAATTCCCATTCCTGATAATCATGAGATACTGCAGAAAGAAGCTATACCTGACCATATTAAGAGTTTTTATAGAGTCAACAATATCTGGAGGTTCAGATATGATCGACCATTCCACAAAGGAATCAAGGACAAAGAAAACGAGTTCAAGGTATGCACTTTTATCTTATGTGAGTACAACAAGTAGAGATCCAAATATTTACATTTGAGTCTAACTTGATGTTGATGAGAAGTAAAACACAGTGCTGGAGAAACTCAGCAGATCTGGTCGCATCAGCTACTGTTGAGAACTGCGGTTCTGAAGAAGACCCATTGGACTTGAAATATTAAGTACATTTCTCTCTCCGTAGTCAAACTTGCTGACTTTCTCCAAAGTTTGTGCCTTTGTTTCCAATCTCCAGCATCCACAGTGAACTGCTTTGTTTTTGATGAAAATTGGAGATTTTGAATAGTGGCCTCCTTCCATTTGAAATTGAGGGGCAAGTTTTCATCCTCCTCGTTGCATCAGTAATCAAACAAGCAGAAATGAAAATTCACACTAGTTTGTCGGCACCATCCTGTTCCCTGGCCATTTTCCTGGAGGCAGGATCAAGGCCTGAAGAGCTACCTCCACATATGTAGTGGGTGGCCAATCAAGGAGAGTGAATGATCTTTTAAGACCAATTATCAGAAGCCAACCAAGGGAGCAAATCCTCCAGTCAGACTTTGAACACCTCTCCAACTGCCTGCATACAGAAGCCCCTGTGAACAGGTCTGCTTCCATGATGGCAATTCTGGCATTTTATTGAATCTTAAAAGGTTTAAAAATTTCTGGGAAACTTACCATAATGTCCCTTAGAAATCTGGCCGATGTGTGATTCCAGTCCCACAGCAATGTCTGGAAAACTGCTTTCTGGAAAATTAGGTTGGGCAATAAATGTGAACATAGCCATTGATGGTCACAAACCATGAACAAGTAACAACTCTCTCACTTAAGTGAAATGGCAGGATGCTATAACCTCAGCTAGAAGCTCTGACCATTGACCCTTGAATTACAAGAGACCACCCATTGTCAGAACTTGTATGGTGAGCCTGCCTGTTGTCCTTAATTGGACAATTCAGGAAAAATCATTACTGGATGACTGGTTTCACACAATGCAGTATTGGGAAGCCAATTTGACACTTATTCCTGCCCCCAAAATTTGTCATTGAGTTTGAATTTGGGGCTTAATTACTTCATTATATTTTCAGTTAATTAAGTGTGAAAATGCTAAGACTAAGACATTTTTAAACAAAGTTGTTGATATCAAGAAGTCTTAATTAATACATACAGAGTGGGTTTTACCATGGATTTCAAAACACTTAATTATTTCCTTCTCTCTTGTTATTTTTGTCAGAGTCTGTGGGTTGAGCGAACTACTTTGACATTGGTTCAGAGTTTACCAGGTATCTCCCGCTGGTTTGAGGTGGATAGACGGGAAGTGGTGAGTTCAAGCAGTCAGTTGTAAATTTCACAAATGTAAAAAGTGCTGTGATGTGTCATTTTTGTACTAAGTTTAGGCTACAGCATTTTTATTAAAAACAACAAAATAAGCAGAAACAAATTCTATTAGAAGGTTCCCCAGATTATATTCTTGAAAAAGAGTCTGACTTTGATCAGGAATCTGTTTCTAGGTTGAAATGAGTCCTCTTGAAAATGCAATTGAGGTGCTGGAGAACAAGAACCAACAACTGCGAACTCTAATCACACAGTGTCAGTCAAGACAGATGCAGAATATCAATCCCCTGACCATGTGTCTCAATGGTGTCATTGATGCAGCCGTTAATGGAGGACTTGCCAGATACCAAGAGGTAAACTAGAGTAGTGATTGTCAAATATTTGCATCTTACATGTCATCAAACATTTTGTCAAAAAAAACCCTAGTCCCACTATGATAAAAACAAAACATGACTTTTTCTTAGGAGTATTTACATGCATTTTGGTATTGTATTTATGATTAAAGGACATAAGTTATTGCAAACATTTTTCTGAGAATAAGTTTTATGCTGAATTGTGAAAATAAAATCAGATAATGTTTCAGTCACTAGTGAGAAGCCTGGGATTGTATTTCATTGACAAGCATGTCAGTTCCTGGGGTCCCACCACTGCAGCGTGTTCCAACAGCTGAGGAACACTGAGCTAAGAGGAATGTAAGGATAGGGCTGGGGTTTGGGCGAGAGATGGAAACAGTTGAAGGAAATATTTAGCAGGATTTAAAACAATATCTCACCTGCTGCCTTGGGTCATTATGAGAAATATTCCATTGGCTAATTTAGAAATGCGTTACTCGCTTTTTTTGTTCTGGCCACCCTATCAATTCAAATATAAAAAAAAACAGCCAGAAGGAATTTGTATCTCTGGGTTTATTTGTAAAGTTCAAATTTCAGCTGATGGCAGTGCTGGACAAGTCAAATTCAGAGTGGAGCCTGGGTGATGGACCAAAAGTTATTTTTTTTATAATTTGGTTACCATAGTGGTTAGCCATTGAACATATTCACACCAGGCTGCAAATGTACTTTTTGAAAAATAACATAAAATTATTACACAAAAGGAAAGAAAACAAAGCTATATTGTATAAGATGATTTCTAAGATATTTTTTACAGCAATATCCTTTACAACACTTGGTTCCAGTGAAAAGTATCACTCCTATATTCAGTTTAATATTTCTTCTTTAACTGAAGAGGTCATAAGTACTTCATTTTGGGGAGTTATTGCACATTTACCAGATGTACTTCTCTACGTCTGTCCCAGAGACACATGGACAGGCTAATTCATTGACCATTTATCAATGAACTCTAAGGAAAGCTCAAAACCTTTTTCCAATCCTATCTACTTGGTCTGCTAAAACAGCTTAAATCCTCCTTCAACCTCTGATTGCTTTGAGACTGCCATAAAAATGCCCTTCTGCTAATATGGATCTTTTCTTCTTCTGAACCGAACCTATTTATGACCTCCTGTGTCTCCTTTCATGGGTCTTATAAAGCTGAGCTTTGTGACTACTTCAGGTGCTTATCAGGCATCTTGTCTGGTCATGTCGCTTAAGTAATATGCTTTGTTGAAACACTGTTTTGAACTCACTGTTCAAAATTACTTTCTGACCCTTTTTTCTTTAAAAGCATATCACCTTCATAGAGATAACACTAAAAACTTATTTACCTTCGCTTTAGAATACAAGATCGCAAAATAGTAATAACATATTGTAAACCTTCATCATGCTGAGCAAAAATGTATGATGAGACAAATATTGACGTGATGAAAGATCAGACTGTTAAAAGTGACCATTTCAGAGATTTGTCTCAACAAATTTCAGGAGTAAGTATTTCCAAACCACTCTTTTCTATTGTCCTGGCAGCACCAGCATTCTATGTGAACACAGCAGGCCAAGCAGCATCAGAGGAGCAGGAAAGCTGACGTTTTGGGCCTAGACCCTTCTTCTGAAGAAGGGTCTAGGCCCGAAA